AGCCTGAGAGTGTTACTTGCCCACCAACTCCTGAATGGAAGAGGTCTGCTGAGCTTGATCTTAATGGTGAAGCTGTTCAAGATGATGATGATGATGATACGCCGCCTGACCCTGTTCAAGTAAGCGTGGTGCAAACAAGTGCTTATTGTTTATTAAGATCTTGAGTTTAACACTCATAACTCATTTACATCCTGCATGCATTGTTAAGCTCTTGCCCTTGTTAGACAGAGCTCATAATCTTATTTCAGCTTCATTTACTGTTGTTTCTAGGTCATTTATTTACTTCTTCGTGATCCTGGAAAATAATGGTATCATCTAAAAAGTATATACTGTTCCTAAGATTATCTTTGTGTGCATATTGATGGGTGCAGTTGAGTCTTTCATAGCTGACAAAGTTCATAAAGTGTCAAATTCACTTTGCTTGAGTCATCTGATGGGTCTGTTTCTGATCTTGACTTTCTTTACTGTTTCATTGTTCAGGAAATCAGTCAGGAGAATGTGAAGATGTCAAATGATGACATTTTGGGTGATGAAATACCCCATTATCAGGAGGAAGCTTACCGGCAATTTTGTTATAAGATGCTTATGATGAATATCGGGGTATGAGTTTGAGCTGCTTATTTGTTATTCTTAGTTATTTTCTCTCTATGTTCTCATATGGTATATTATGTTTAGCCTAATGTTGTTTCCTCTCTGTATATTTCATTAAGATCATGCTAAATGTTTATTGAGACTAATGCAATAATAATAAGCTTCAGTGAGTTAGATAATGTGATCTTTAATCATTTAATGAATGAAAACTTCTCTGATCCAGGGAAGAGGATGTATGCAATTCCCAGGTTCGCACCCTGTATCTTTAGACAGGTATGACACTCTGCTCTACTTTGGTTATTGCATACAAAGAGGATTTAGCAAGTTTATATTCTCAATTTCAGAGGTTCATTAGTCCTAGTTTCTCAATGTAGTTAAATCTTAAGCTTTTTGCTTACACAGGGAGAGTTTACAACTTTTGAGGCAGCGGTATTATTATGCAACATGGAAGGCAGATGGAACACGTTATATGATGCTCTTAACTATAGATGGGTGCTACCTGATAGATAGGAGCTTTAAGTTTCGGAGGGTACAGATGCGTTTTCCCTGTAAGCACTCAGATGGAGTGAGTAATTCTCTGTCATTGCTTATAGGCCTTTTGTGTCGATATCTAAACTTGTGTATTCCCTGACCTATTTGGTTTTCGGTGGTAGGGAATGTCTGATAAAGTGCATCACTACACTTTGCTTGATGGAGAGATGGTCATAGATACCCCGACAGGTGAACAAGGGGAGGCGAGGAGGAGGTACCTCGTATATGATATGGTAGCAATCAACGGCGAATCAGTTGTAGAGGTTGGAACTGTAGTTCCCTTATTATTATTTACGTTGGAATGAGTTCATTAGCTCGTGAACTTAGCATTCAGTATTTACCTAACCGAGACTATGACCAAGGTTGTTTTCCAATATGTCAGCTGTCGTTGTTACTCAGTGTCAACCATTGTTACGTATTATAGATACTAAAGATAACTTACAGTTGATTTAAATATGAACCAGCGGACTTTCTGTGAGAGATGGAACATGTTTGTTCGTGAGGTGATCGGACCTCGTGGAGCTGAGAAGCTCAGAAGTCATTGCTACAGATATGACCTTGAGCCTTTTGCGGTGAGTTGCATTTTCTGTCCCACACCATAGTTTCCTTCGTATAAATTGTTGGTAAAATTATTGTTGTTGCTCAGGTACGGATGAAGGGTTTTTGGTTACTTTCTACTGTTGAGAAGCTTTTGAAGAATACCATTCCATCGCTTTCGCATGAAGCAGATGGCCTAATATTTCAGGTAACCAAGGGATGTCTATATTGTAGGTCTGAGTAGATAATTTTTCCTGAAAGCTGAGGGACACAAATTTATGAGATTAGTATTATCTTTAACCTGGAGAAAGTAGGAAGATTGCATTACTTGAGCTTGACTTGCATTTGGTTTGATGGAGTAATTATCAGGGCTGGGACGACCCTTATGTTCCACGAACTCATAAAGGTTTATTGAAGTGGAAGTATGCAGAAATGAACTCAGTAGACTTTCTGTTTGAGACGGGTGAGGATGAGGGGCGAGGTTTCCTCTTCTTGCATGAAAGAGGGAAGAAAAAGCGTATGGAAGGATACTTGGTTGAGTTTAGAGATGATTCGGACCTGTCAAGTTACAATGGGAAGATTGTAGAGTGTTCATGGGATAAGGATAAGAAAGTTTGGGTTAGTATGCGGATCAGAGTTGACAAAACTACGCCAAATGATATCAACACTGCTCGGAAGGTCAGTTGAACGGTTAAATTTAATGTATGGCTTTTGTCAAATGGACTTCCTATATGATTTCTCAGCTAAAAAAGTGATGTTGTATATTGTGTTGTGAAATTAAAATAGGTGATAAAGAGCATAAATGATAATATCACTGAGGAGGTGTTGCTTCAGGAGATAAAAGAGATCATCCGTCTCCCAATGTACGCTGACCGCATACGAAACGATAGTCAGGTCGCACGCCGCAAGTAGAGACTATATGATGCTTCTATGACCGTTGAACTAATTAAACAATGGTTTTGGGATACATGAATATTGGGTGTTTAGGGTTAGCAGGTTTGTCTTCTCTAATACGTTATATAGCTAAATCAATTTGCTTTGTTTTGTATTAGTCAATAATAACCAAATCCATCAATCTAGGTAGTTTATATCTACATGACTATGCCAACAAAAAAAAGTGGTTTCTTTTATCCCAAAAGTAAGGTATTTACTGAAGTGAGAGTAGAAGATGTAGATGATACATAGGCTATACAAATTACTAAATCTCAATCGTTCTTCCGTGCAGTCCAAGAAACACAAAATGCACTGGATGTTCGACCCTAGGTTATAACAGAGACATAAAATCATATAGATAGGGAGTAAAACGTTGCCGCCAAAAAAAAAAAAAAGGAGTAAAACGTTATTATATGTCATCAAATTTTCAGTCATGACTCATGAGCTATCCTTCTCAATATCGTTGAACGGTTTAACTTCTTGTAAATCATGATCACTGAGAAATGGAAGCTCGCTCATGTGATGTGATTAAGTTAGTTTTTGGGATTAGTTAGGTCACGTTACTAATAAAAGCACTTCTTGTCAATTATAAAGTTATTTTTATTTCTATTTTTTTACCCTAATTCTGGCGCTCGTTACTGATTTCATTATGTTAAACTCGGAATTTTTGTATTTTTTCGTTATTCTTGTATTTTCTTTCGTTTCTTTCTCCAATCTACGGCAGTGTTTTGATGTGATATTGGAAAACTGAAACGAAACGGTAGCGCTTAGATGTCACATCATGTGAGTCGTTTGTTTTTCAACGTTGAAATTTCTGTTAAACGGTAGCGTTTTGTTTTATTGCATAGTCTTTGGCACTATGGGAAAAGTCTTTTACAAGAAAAAGAAGGTCTTGTGTATATATGCTCTGCATGCAGTATGCATATCGCACACCATGACAATTTCATGGAGAGTTGGCTATATTTTCATGTGTTCTCTGATGCGTTAATTTTAATCAATCTATCGTGATTTTTTGTTGTTGACAATTTCTTCTTCTTTTTCTTTTTTTTCTTACATAACAAACTGTATATTTGTATTGGTACAATGTTGCTATTGGAGAAGAGAATCTTACTGCTGAAAGTTTATATGGGTATGAGGTATCGCGCCTCAATTGCTGCAAACTTCTCAGCTGGAGAAATCTTGAACATGCTGCTAGATTTGAAAATTGGATCCGCTGGTTTCGGTTTGACCATGGTCGTGTAGTATTACCACTCTAGGAAAATGCACTGGATGTTCGACCCTAGGTTATAACAGAGACATAAAATCCTATAGATAGGGAGTAAAACGTTATTATATGTCTGATCAAATTGTTTTACTCTTTTGCGATTTTGTGTTTCTTGGACTGCACGGAAGAACGATTGAGATTTGGTAATTTGTATAGCCTATGTATCATTTACATCTTCTACTCTTACTTCAGTAAATATCTTCCTTTTGCTCATTATTTGCGGGGATAAAAGAAACCACTTTTTTTGTTGGCATAGTCATGTAGATATAAACTACCTAGCTAGATTGATGGATTTGGTTATTATTGACTAATACAAAACAAAGCAAATTGATTTCGCTATATAACGTATTGGAGAAGACAAACATGTTAACCCTAAACACCCAATATTCATGTATCCCAAAACCATTGTTAAATGATATAAGAAGCTTCACTGCTTTTTTTGTAAAATGCATGTCGTTTGACTGAATTCTATAAGTAAAAAAAAATTAGTTCTTTCTAATTCTTAATAAAATATTTACATTCTTAACCAAATAAGTAAATAAAAACAGAAATCGTTATTTTCAAAAAAAAAAAAAAAAATGTCGAATAATAGTTGTAATTGGTGATTCCGGTTTTGAGAACTTTAGTGAATCAATCCTAAATTGTTTGGTTAACTTTGCTAATTTTTGGTTTAATATCGATGAAAACTGGGTAAGCTGTTAATCTGAATGATTAAATTTCAAGACACAATGAAACCAACCTTTATTTTTGTTTATTATCATGAACTGTATGCGACAATAGTAGATGACATAAATCCAAAACTAAAATGACCAAAAAAAAAAAGAAATAATGCAAAAATAGAAACAATGGCTAATACGTGTAAAGGTAAATGGAAATCCAAAAAGTTTACAAAACAATTGTAATTGTGTTGGGCCGTGGCCCATGGGAGTTAAAATGAATCACTCTCTTCGAATACAACAAATATGTCGTCCCGTTACTTTTCTTTCTTTTTTGAACAATGGATATTTTCTTTTTCCTGTCTATTCCCTCTTTCCTATTTTGATGATATATTTCCTTTTTTGAATGTGGTGGTTTGTTTATAAATACTGTACATATATTTGTAATCCAAAGCAGAGGAGAGACGTTTACTAGCTGCCTTGTTAGAATGACTGCTCCGATCGATAAACTACCGGAAGAGCTACTCAGCAAAATAATTTCGTTTTTGCCTCTCAAGTTCGCTATTTCTACTTCCGTTTTGTCAAAAAAATGGGAGAATGCGTGGAAGATAATCCCCTCTGTCTGCATAGTGTACCGTGGCGATGAAAGTTCGGCAATCCCGATAACGTCTAATATGCATCGTTTGACAACAGAGAAGATATCTACGTTTCATCTACGTGTAGATAGGGTTCCTAAACGGGACAATGACGTAGACGATTGTCTATGTTTTTTCATGATGGTCAAACCTGAAAATATGGTCCTTAGGTTCATCGGTTCTGACCACGAGTATTCTTTCATGGACGAATTCTTTGACAACGGTAGCATAAAGCGACTTATCGTGGAGCATCCCCATATGAAACCGATGCCAAAGCCTGTGTCGTGGTGTTCGTTAAGGAGTTTGGCCCTATATTGTCCATATCTTCCCCAACAGGCTCTTGATAATATTCTCGTTGGTTGTCCAGTCATGAGAAGTTTGACACTACATCAGTGTGAAGATCAGCTTGTGTATTTTGACCTCCGCGAGGCACCAAGTGTTGAGAACTTGGACATAGATATGATGTATTGGAACCACGATGTATCAGACGCGGCAGTAAAGATTGAAGCACCAAATATACGTTATCTGAGGTTGTCTATTGCATCACCATGTGTTTTAGTGGATGTTTCTTCTCTCAAGGAAGCAAAATTAAACATCAGCAACATTAGATGGTTGACGAAGGTTGAAGATTTTCTACCAGCCATGATGCTAAAGTTGCAGAACGTAAAGAAGCTTACCTTTGGGTCCACCTTCCTTGATGTGTTGTCATCATCTCTTGCTCAGGTCCATGATTTTCCTTTCCCAACGTTCAAGGTGGAAGATTTAACACTTGAAACTATGATTCTCGAATCCCTTCTTCCCGGAATAGGAAGGCTTTTACAAAATTCACCTGCGCTAAAGCATCTCACAGTTGACGTGGTGAAGCAACCAGAGGAGGAAGCCGATCATGTACCCGTGCATTCATTCATACATCTTCTACGCCTACTGAATGTAAAAACGTTAAAGACAGTGGTTATACGGCTTGGAGGTTATGTTGCTGAATCAGAATTTGACAACCTGAAAAGGATAACTCACGAACATATTGGACAACAGAACACTGTTTCCATTGTGCTTGAGCCAAGAGTTGTTGTTAGGTCCTTTACTAGCCTCTTTGATGACACTGCTTGCCCCGACCACGGCACGTAATTACATTCATGAAGGATTTTGTTTGGTGTGTTTTCCTTTGACTTTATTATTTTCTTTCTGGTTTGAGTCATTTTCCCTTTCTTGCATTTTTTCCATGATTTGGTTTGGTGTTTTTTTTTTTTTTTTTTTTTCAACTTAATTGAGAGTCAGTCCGTTTGTGATTCAAGTTTTGAAAATCAATATAAAAAAAAAAAAAAAAGTGGTAACCTTAGTTACCATAAATCCGGGCATTCTCTCTAAGATTTCATTCAAATTTAATTCCAGCAAAATAGCAAATACCACTTTAATTTCTCCCTATGAAATATCAAATATGTATGTATCAAAGGCTTTTATATATCCAATGCATGCGGCTCTGTTGTAACGTCTAGTTTTGATCTTGTGATCGTTATCTGAACTTCTTAATCCATAAATCCTGCTTTAAATGAACAACTAGAATTAGAGAAGATTTTAATCAAAGACCATGCAAATAACATCCTTAAACAAGAAGTACTTCAATCATCTCTCAAAAATAAGCATATGTGTTGTGTAAAACAGAACACAAACGATGATAACAATGCATGCTAATGTTGCATTCATGATTATCTTTGTCGCAGGGACAAAATTTCATCAGGGTATGCAAAACTTAATTGTTGCAATAGAATGTGAAGTAAAAGGTAATTACAAAGTAAAAGGTAAGCTAGACCAAAATGCTATAGATCGATCCCTAGCTAAGCCTTTATGAGTTGCAACAGAGACAGACAACCGCATATAGAATTGGTCTTGTCGTCTTGATATTCTTATACATTTTTCCACTCAGGGCATGCATGTGTGGTGTGCCTGTCAAACAAAGTAACTCTGCAAGATATGGATTCTTAAATACGCAACCGAAACAAATTAATACACTCAAAATAATTTCTAAAGTTTTTTTAGGCGACTGCCGTAGTATTAGAACATTATTAAAACTAGTGTTTACAAAACGTGCCCCCATGGCTTAACCATGACTGATACACATACGTACATAGCCCATACACCGATTATGCCCGTGTGTGCAATGAACGAGGACATACTTATTTGAGCGGTTGTGTTTCTCGAACTGATTAACCTTGCTGACAAAGGTGGTTAAAGAGGTACTATCTGGCACAGCATCACGGCCAGAGCAGGGGATCTTAACATGCTCGATTCCCTCCTGGATTGACTCTCCGCTAGGGTGATAGTAACGAGTTGTATTTGTGAGATCAATCACGAGACCAAGCTTCCTTGTATTATTATTAGCTAACCACTTTTTGAAAGTGTAGATTTTGGCAGGAGGAAGAGCATCGTTGTAGGATGCACTGAGGGGAACCTTTGAAGGAATGATGCATCCTATACTCTGACCAAAGCGAGGACAATCTATCCACCCCTGAGGGATGGTGATTCTGGTCTGATCAGACAAAACTGGTTGTGGCTTGTTGTTGTTGTATAACCTCGCTCTTTTCCTATTGTCGTCACAGAGTTCAGTTCTGTCTTCGACACGAAGTCTCTTACAGCCAAAATACCACCTATCTGCTGCTTCTTGCGTAGCAATCATTCTCTAAGAGTTTGTCTGATCAGAAACCCTAAATCCGAGTCGATAGATTGAAGAACACAAAAGTTGTTTTATTTATATAAGATATATTCGCCGTTACTTGGGCCACACCTTCTTTTCTAGTGGGCCTTGTGGCCACACTGATCCCTAAATAACAATAATTATAACATTGCTCAAACTTATAACTATTTAAAACCATCTTCCAAAATATTAAACCAGCTATATTTTAACCCGCGCTACACCGCGGAATAACCAGTAATATTCCACTAAATTAAATTAAATCACAGAATTAACAACACAATATCATCGTATAATCTTAAATACTTAATACAATTAATAAAAAATATAATTTAAAATAAAATACAAATATTAGTTACAAAAAATTATCCAACAAGCTAAGTAAGAAAATTCATAATCAAATTACAGTTACACAATTTTAAACACTAAACAAAAAATTAAAAATTAAAAATTAAAAATTTAAATTAAAAAATTCTATAATTATTTTTTATAATTTTGATCCAACCTAGTATTCTCTTTTGTACTTCTTCCCTACAAATCAACTAGGTCCGGACCCGCGCTACAGCGCGGGGGAAAAGTGTCGGTTTTTGTTTTTTTCCGAATTATGTAAATTTTTAATTGTTAAAATGGATTGTTGGTGTTGAATTTAGCAAGTATGAGAATATGTACTATCGTGGATGTGTACTTTGTCACGTATGCTAGGTTCAGACTCGTGCTGTAGCGCAGGAGAATATTTTCAGGTTTCTTTTATTTTAACGTGTTTTGCCGTATGTGTTATTATTTCCTTTATTTTAGTATCAACAATTATTATTTTGAAATGTATATTTGGTTTCAATTCTTTGAGAAAAGTGTGTTTTTGGAAATTAAATATAATATTTTAATAAACTAAATAAAAGAACGTTTATTAAACAAATTATATACTCACAATGTATGTGGTGACGGACCAATCAGCAAAAACCCGTGTATTTTAAAAAGAATAAAAATGTATAATATTGAACGAAATTTTGTATATACATGTATCACATAAGAACATAGGAGTTTGAAAGATTTGTATATACTTGTATCCTATAAAAATAAAATAAAAATATTAATATACATCATATTGAATAAGAGACCATAAACTAAAATAGTATACGATTAAAAAGAAAAAATAGTAAACGATAAATCATAAGGAAAAACTCAAAATAAAATGTAAAAGTTGGAAAGAAAAAATTGATGTCTTTATTCAACAAATGTATGATTATATATTGTGAGGAGAGGGTGTCGATTTTTTGGGTTTGTAAGTTAGTAAATTGAATTCTTATAGAAAAATCTTTTCAGCTTGTTAAAAAATTTAAGTGATTTCTTTAAATTTAATATATATATTTAGAACATTTAAAGGAAAATTCAGAATTTAAGGTAATTTATTTAAAATAACTTATGGAATATATTCTTTATGAGTGATTTTTTATTAGTACTGATTTGATGATTAATAATTACAAAGATAAAATATTGTTATTAAAGTATTTTTAGTTAATTATAATAATTTTTTCTTTTCTTATAAATCGGGAGGTTTCCTCCCGTTTTCACACCAAAAAAAAAATAATTATCCTAAAATTTTTATTATTTTTTTTGTATCCAAAATATTTTCGTACTATTCATTGAAATATATATTAATAATTGTCAAAATATTTTTTTTCAAAATTCAAATATAACCATTTCTAGATATATATGGATCTCTATAATTTTGCATTAATTATGCTACTGATAAAATATTATTCTTTTTATAGGTAATTCAAATTGATAAAGATTGGAATAATACCACTAAACTCTTTTCATATACTATTTTTTATTCTGATTAAAATCTTTCATTTAACATATTAGGAAAAAAAAAAAGATTTCATATATTTTAAACATCACACTAATTTATAAAATCTTTCGTTTTTTTATAGCAATATATATATATATATAATTCAAATTTTATTTTTCGAAAAATTTAACTAATTCAAACTAATTAACATTTTTTTTGATTAGATTACCATTGTTTATGTATTTTAGATGCATTTATATATTTGTTCTACCAAATATTTTTAAATTATATTTTTCTATATATCAAAGATTTAAACTAAAAAGATTATAGTTTTCTTTTTTTGCATATAAGAAATTAATATACTAATTAGAATATTTTTAAAAGATTAAGATCTTTATATTCATAACAAATTTTCCTTATAAGACATTTTTTATTTAGCATTAATATATTTTCTAAAATATAATAATGTAACATTAATATAGTTTCCTAAATGATAGGAATCTGGTGTATATTATTGAAATATTTGGAAAATATTTAACAAAACAATTTGGCAAGTATCCGATTGAAAATTTAACCCGGAATTTTTTGAAAAATCCGACCCGAATCCCTTGTGTACTTCTCTTTTACTATAGTAGGGATTAAAGCCCACATACACGTCTTTTAATTATTTCTCTCTCCCGTAGCCTGTAGGGTTTCGATTTCGTCTATTGTCAAAGTCGTTCCTGTTACTGATTCTGGAAACGAGACCGGCTAAGATTTGTGAGTTTATGCTTTTCTTTGAAAATTCTGTTTACCGAATTCTAGGGCTTTGGATAATTTTCCTGAATTCTAGGGTTTTGCAGTGATAGCTGCGATGGACCTAAATGCTTCACCCCTGCCCGAAGAAGACGATGATCATCCTTTAAATAAGAGATGTCTTGAAGACCGAATAGAATCGGCAGTTGAGATTGCAAGACGGGTACCATTGATTTTACAGAATCACAAACAAACTATATAGTTGATTACATAACTTCTTAATTCGAATAAATTCATGTGTCCTTTGTAGTGGATGGAGGAAGTTGATACTAACTGAATGGTCATATTAAGTTATCTGTTGGTGTTATAGGAGCGTGAAGAACGAAGGAAACGAATGAGATTTGACAGGCCAACCAGGATCTCTCAGCCCGTCTACCGTGATCAGTCTTACCAGAAAAGAGATACTAGAGTCTATGACCAAAGCAAGATCCCTCAAGGTATATATTATATGCTTTGCTACTTCCTCAGACGATGGTTTTTATGTTCATTGGTTTCATAAAGTATGGATATTTTGATACAGGTTGGCTTGATTGTCCTGGTTTTGGTCAGGAGATAGGATGCATTATTCCTTCTAAGGTTCCCCTTAGTGAATCTTACAACGAACATGTTCCTCCTGGCAAAAGATACTCTTTTAAACAGGTGGTCCGTAACCAGAGAATTAGTGGACGAAAGGTATAGCAAGTCTTTTTTTTCCCTTCAAATATTGTATCAATCTTTTTTTTTTTCTCTTTGCTTTGCAACTGATCTCCAAAGTAATGGGTACTTTTTTTTTCAGCTTGGTCTAGTGATTGATCTAACTAATACTACTCGTTACTATCCTACATTAGAATTAAAGAAGGATGGCATCAAGCATGTTAAGGTGATTAATCGAATACTCTGTGTGTTTTATTCATTGTATCATCTGCACCAGCATTTAGCTGATTGCTTTATCTTCTTTTTACTGTTGTAGATCGCATGCAGGGGTCGTGATGCTGTGCCAGATAACGTTTCTGTAAACAATTTCGTCAACGAGGTACTTGTTTTATAAGTTCTATTCTCTTCTTCACTTGGAGTTTATTTAGTTGAATTTTAATTGAAGTAAAAACTTATCTACTGTTGGTGACTCATTTGAGGATATTGTTTTCAGGTTATTCATTTCATCCTTAATCAAAAACACACAAAGAAATATATCCTCGTCCATTGTACGCATGGGCATAACCGTACAGGGTTTATGATAGTTCATTATCTTATGCGCTCTACGCCTACGATGAACGTTACACAGGTTTAATTCTTTCAGATCTGTACTTGTGCATTCGCTGCATTGATCCTGTTTAGAATGGAGATTCTTACCTCTGTGTGGCCTTTGACAGGCACTGAAAATGTTCTCTGATGCCCGACCACCTGGGATTTATAAACCAGATTATATTGATGCTTTATACACTTTTTATCACGAAATAAAGCCTGAGAGTGTTACTTGCCCACCAACTCCTGAATGGAAGAAGTCTGCTGAGATTGATCTTAATGGTGAAGCTGTTCAAGATGATGACGATGATGATGACGAGGCTCCGAGTGGCCGTGTTCAAGTAAGCGTGGTACGCATTTTTTTTCTTTTCTATTATTTAAAGTTTAAACAAACAATCAAATTAAATTATATATATATATATATAGATATTTTTTTTTTTGGGTCAAATTATATATATATGTATACATATATATTAATGATTTAATTAATCCGTGTTACGATTATCTTTGGGTGCATATTGTTGATGGGTGTGGATCTTGTCTTTCTTTTACTGTTTTGTTGTTTCAGGAAAATGTGAAGATGTCAAATGATGACGTTTTAGGTGATGAAATACCCCATGGTCAGGAGGAAGCTTACCGGCGGTTCTGTAATAAGATTCTTTATCCAAATAAAAAGCATACGACAAATATTGGGGTAGGAATTTAAATTGCTCTTATGGAATCTCATATTTGATATAATTCAATTTTTACTTAAAACTAAAACACAGAAAAGTTATACTATAACATGTGTGTCATGAGTCACTCATAGTCTCTCATTTGAGCTTAGTATCTACCAATGGACTATGTTTAGTCTCTTTTTGCCTGCATGTGTGGTTCATCAAAAGCATGTTACACGTTTGTTGAGAATAATGAATAGTAGTAAGCTTCAGTGATCTCTTAACCATTAACTAGATTAAATTTTTGATGATGCAGGGAAGAGGATGTACACGATTCCCAGGTTCACACCCAGTATCGTTAGACAGGTCTGTGTCTCTGCTTTACTTTCCGTATTTGCGTACAAAGAGGATTTAGCAAGTGGATATACAATGCTGTGGTTTCAGAGGTTCTCTGGTCCTAGTTTCTCGATGTAGCTAAATCTTTTACGCTTTTTCCACACACAGAGAGAGTTTGCAACTTTTGAGGCAGCGGTACTATTATGCGACATGGAAGGCAGATGGAACACGTTATATGATGCTCTTAACTATAGATGGGTGCTATTTGATAGATAGGAGCTTTAAGTTTCGGAGGGTGCAGATGCGTTTTCCCTGTAAACACTCACGTGAAGTAAATAGCTTTCTCTATCATTGCTTAACTAGAGGCCTTTTGTGTGCCATGTGTTTTTGAATTCCCTGACCTTAATTTTGGCTTTCGGTGGTAGGAAATTTCTGAAAAAGTGCATCATTACACTTTGCTTGATGGAGAGATGGTAATTGATACTCCAAAGGATGAAGAAGGTCAGGCAAGGAGGAGGTACCTCGTATATGATCTGGTAGCAATCAACGGCGAATCAGTCGTAGAGGTTGGTACATACATTACCTCATCACATGCTTTGGTTTTGGTTCCCTATGTTATAATATCAATTTCAATATTGTCGATCGGTTATATATTATATAAAACTTAAAAGATCATTTTAAAATGAATACCAGCGGACTTTCTGTGAAAGATGGAACATGCTCGTGAAAGAAGTGATCGCACCCCGTGATGCTGAGAGGGGGACAAGTAGAAATTGTTACAGATACGACCTGGAGCCTTTTGGAGTGAGTTGCATTTTCTGTCTCATTCCATATTATTATTATATTTTCCTAATTTTCACTTGTATAATAAGTTTTTTTTTTGTTATTGTTGTTGTTATAATTACCCAGGTCCGAATGAAGGGTTTTTGGTTACTTTCCACTGTTGAGAAGCTTTTGAAGGTTACCATTCCTTCGCTTTCGCATGAATCAGATGGCCTAATATTTCAGGTAACCCAAGGGATGTTTATATTTCAGTGTTTTAGGTGTCGATAGGATAGTTTTCCTGACATATGTGTTGGGTTTTGTGGACTAATTAAAATAGGGTTGGGACGATCCCTACACTCCCCTAACCGATAAAGGTCTACTGAAGTGGAAATATGCGGAGATGAACTCAGTTGACTTTCTGTTCGAGATGGATGAGAATGATGGGCGAAGAATGCTCTTCTTGCACGAAAAAGGAAAGAAAAAGCTTATGGAAGGCTATTCGGTGGAGTTTGGAGATGAAGACTTGAACCCGGCCACTTACTCCGGAAAGATTTTAGAGTGTAGGTGGGATCAAAAGAAGCAAGTTTGGGTTTACATGCGGATCAGAGTTGATAAACCTACACCAAACGATATTGTCATCGCTCATAAGGTCAGCATATTTAATTAATCTTATTCTTGTATTATTAGATGAACGAGAAAATAACAGAATCACCTAGCTAATAAATATTTTTGAAATTTCTCCAACCATATTTTCAATTACGCACATAGTATATTGTTCTTCACAATAACTCTCTTACTGGATTCAAATCTTTATGTATGAAAATAGGTGATAAAATGTATAACCGACAACATCACCGAGCAAGTGCTGCTACAAGAAATAAGAGAGATCATTCGTCTCCCAATGTACGCAGACCGCATCAAAATTGACAGCCGAGCTGCTGCGGCACGCCGAAGGTGACAAGAGTGCCAATAGTCGTAAGATTATGAACTTCGTCAACATGTTGGTCGTAACTTAGATACATAACAATAGTCTTCAATAGCCTGATTTGCTTTCTGTATTACTTCAATAATATGGTCATGGAGACACTCCAAATGAAATGTCCATTCTCGAAGCCACAGTGGAATTAACTTCAATACATTATCTTGGATATTTACAACCGTAGATGGATTGATATCATCCAATCATCAGCAGAAAAACCATAGACTTCTCAAATCCATCTCTTCCTCTAACAACTAGGAAATGGCCATCGCTTTATCATTGATTCCGAAATTAATCCTAGCAGTAAAGCCCAACGATGTCTCCCACAAATCGAAAGAAACAAACATGAAAAATAAAAAGATATCACCAATGCACCAAAAGAAACAAACATGAAAAAATTAAAAATATATCACCAATGCACCAAAAGAAACAAACATGAAAAAATTAAAAATATATCACCAATGCATGATCAGACCGTTGACGTCTTCATAAGATTAAGAACTGACATCTAGTCATTCGCAGAAATAAACAGGAAACGACTTCCGTGGATATGATCTCATGGAAATATTATCTAGACTATTAACACAATATTTCAAAAATACTCAATTCTGGTGTATTTAAGAAATTTCCCTTTTTTATTAACATAATTATCTAGATTATTAACATAATATTTCATGTTAACACACTTAAATTTATGTAATATTAGGCTTCGAGTTTGCGATATCAAACAAATTTTATTATTTTCACATGAAGTACAATTCTTAGTTCAGTACATTCTTCGCATTAAACCAAAAAAAAAAAAATCCATGAGTACATTCGCATATGATATGATCGTCCACGTATATCACTTATAGTATTTAAGTATCCGCAAAGTGTTTAGGCCACACACGTCAAGATCGCTTCTCCTAGCACGTGGCCTTCAATAGCATCCAACAATCTCTCTTTCGTCACCTGAGCCACCATTGACATTTTAAAACTAACTCTTCATAAAATTTCTACACCACCAACAAATATGATTAATAAAATAAACCATGTAGTTTTTTTGGTTACCGTATGACCAAGATTTGGTTTATCATCGAGAGCAAAGAGCTTGAACTGGAAACGGTGATCATGGCTAGGCATGAGGGGACCACGCCATCCCGGAATCTTGTGGTCGTTATTCCCCTCCCGAATACCAGCGGTCTGGTCTTCCTTACCGGAAAATGCTTCCGGAAAACCTTTCATCTCAGGCGGTATGTCCACGACTACCCATACCGTCCATGGCACGAGCGGTCCACTAGGGTCTGGCGCATCTATGTCCTCCACCACCAAGGCTAGTGATTTTGTACCTTCGGGAACGTTATACCTACGCAACCCACGTACGATATCATTGTGAAATGTTTATTAGATACGTATTCTATAAGCCCACAGTTAATCACTAGAATTAGTAAATGCTACTCGTACTACTCATCTACGACACCTTGTGGTAACAAATTAACTTAATTTTTTTTCCTAATAGAAATAGTTATTATGTGTCATAAATTTATGTAGCAAAATATAACAAAACATCATCACTATTTCACCATCCATTAATCCATATATGTATATATGTAACAAAGGTCAAAAATAAAAAATATATAAGGGAACTGCGATACAAACCATTCGAGAGGAGGAGAGAGATTCTTCTGAACACCTTGGCCTCCCTTCGTATACTTTCTCGGCAGCTTCCCATCATTGTCTATCGTCGGCGAAACCAACCTGAACTCATCACTCGACATTTTTGTTTTTACGCTCCTTCGTTTTTTATAAAAGTTTATGTTTTCTTGGTTTATCGCAAAAGATAGTCTCTTTCTTTTATACTAATCGTCTAATCCTTTACAAATATGCTCTTATCGTTTAGTTTACTAAATTTAAACGGATCTCTACGTGTGCGAATACAATAACACTTCGCCAACATGAATGTCACGTGGCGTCATTGGAATCTATGGAAGGGTCTAGAGAAAACGTGTAGGCTGTGAAGATTACACCGTGGTGTGTTTGCGAGACGACTTCTGGCACAACACCATATTGGGCTTTTTTTAGAGGGCCTAACTTTTCTTGTTTTCCACCTAATTACTATAATGTTTTTTTATATGTTCGGATTGACGTGCGTATGTTATTTTATTTTGTTTTTCAACTCAGCGATGAATCAATTTACACCACGTCACAGAAGATCTAAAATATAAAATACATATGTACAAGATAACAAAAATAATAGTGTGTGAACAGAGAACATCTTCTAGTTTTACTGTGTCTGAGTCACTATGCGGCTGGAAAGGTACCAAAATAAATGCAGACAGTAACATATGAGTACATCACCATCACCAAAATCCAAAACTTTGCTTTCGCATTTAGTTTCCTTATGTAACCACTACACCTTTATTAGTTTACTCATTTTTCCTTCTTAGCTTCGTTGATCTAGTTTGGCAAGGTCTATAGGCCTATAACCATCCAGAACCCGAATACTTTTCTGTTTATGCAAGGGGGGAGCAGCTACAATAATGATACGAGATTTTTGGGACGATACGAAACAGTTTTCTTTATTAGCTTTTACAGAAAATCTGAAGTTACAAAGAGAGAAGTCTCGCTGCGGCAGTTATAGACTATCAGCCGAGCTGAGAACCCAATACGAAACAGAAGTGCAAAATCACGAGAAAGAGAGTCGCGGCGGGAATCTCGGGCTAGAGCGAGTTCGGGCGCGACACGATTCTCTGTCTGGTGGATAATAACCTCTGGACCGATCTCCGTTCCAAACAATGGTTTAATGTATTTATAATGGCACAGAAACCTAGAAACTCTTTGTGTATCCTTGGCGAATGACGATTTTACCCCTGCGAAGGTGCTGGGCCTGTTTTTGGGTGAAAGGCTTTATTTAATTGCTCATCTTGTTTAAGGGCCTTCTAATATTGGAGGGGGCAAGGCCCATATCCAACATTTTCCATGTTTTCTAAAACATATCATACTTCAAAACTAATAACTCTGTTTAACCCAAAAATCACTTATAAATCAAAACATTCTTCCGTAACATAGCATTTTTGTTTCATTCAAACCGTACGTAGCCTTCAAAACCTTTTGTTAATTAATTACAAAACATGTTGTAGTCTTTCAAATTCCGTTCTTTCGCTGGAACTAGCAACTGGAGGTTAAATAGGCGATTTGAGAAAAATAATTGAAGAAAAATAAGTTGGATATTTTTATCTCACGTAAAAGTAACGTCTCATTCACTCAACAGCCGAGAAGACAGTTACCTATCTCTCTCAGTTAAACTTATATTATAAGTTAATTTTTTAAAAAATACAACTTAAGAAATCGTTGTTTAAAATTTCATACTATCAAAGGGAATTGCGTAGATACAATAAAATAGAATAGAAAGACTAGAATGACCAAATCCTTGAGAATATATATTGGCAAACTCATGCGTCTTTCCAGCATAGTTGTTGTTATCCGGTCTAATCAAAATCATACTTCCCTATTATAGACTAAAATGTGTTTTTATTCAAAAGGAGAAAGAAAAACAATTTTTTTATTCTATAAATGAGAGAAGAACGATGACAAATCAATGGATTGGGACATGTACTGTACATAAACGTGGGTAATGTGCAATGAAGGTAGTTGTTTGAGAAGACAGTACGTAGAGTTTGAGTTTGTAAGAAATGATTAGGGTTTTGTTTTTCGTCTGCACTTCATCCCAATGTTTTCACCGAACCCCACTACTACGTGAAACCCGGATCCTCACGTGCTCTTCCATATTCTTCGAGGGAAAGAAAACTCTCAAATGTTACTATGTTATTAGTAGTGTATTGCAAATTGAATCTCGTGAAATCTCCTGCTGCTGACACAATTTAATCAATTTGTGTACTAGTGTTTAAATAACTCTTCCAATAAGTATTTGTCTAATTAGATTAGGAACGTACTACAGTATAATAATGCCATGCATCATTACAGTTTTTTTGTCTTTGTTTAGAAAATTACGACATCACACATATGTGTTTGACGTGTATCTCGAAATTTTAATAGAGAAATTTTGTTATATACATCCATCAAAAGTCAAGTTCGTGTAAATCAATGTACTCTTCCGCCGTCTATAGATACTTTTCATTTTACATATACACAATAAAACATCACAATCGATGGCCCCGCGATACAATTAACTAAAACGTTAGCAAAAATAAAAACCAACGTTAGCACTACACCAGTTCGTATATTTAGCTATATATATACGCATACTACGTAACAAGTACCATTATAACAATCACAATGGATGATTTCAACCTTAGTAGCCAAAACCCTAATTCATCATCCACCACTTCCTCATCCTCTTCCCCTTTCCACGGTCACAGTAGCGAAACCGGAAAAACAAAACGGTCAAGGTCAACGTCCACTTTGTCGACGGATCCTCAGAGCGTGGCGGCCCGTGAGAGACGGCACCGAATCAGCGACCGTTTCAAGATTCTACAGAGCATGGTCCCTGGTGGTGCGAAGATGGACACTGTCTCTATGCTTGACGAAGCCATTAGATACGTCAAGTTCCTGAAAGCTCAGATCTGGTTTCACCAAAACATGCTTGTCTTCTTAAACGACCACGAAGCCACGTCGTCTTGTACTTACTCTCCCGCCGCCGGAGGATTCGAACCAACTCTCTTTGGTTGCGATGACGACTATGCCCCTGTAAATGAGACGTACTCACAAGGCATGCCACTTACCCTTACGGACTCGAAGTATTCGCCATGGTTTGGTTCGGTTGGTTCTTATGAGCAAGAACGTGGCTCATCTTAGTTGCCATATGCGATATCATGCATGTGATTTACATATTACATAATCTACCGCCTTTCTTAATTGCTGTCGCAATCTTTCAGCAACTTTAGCTTTCAGGATTAATTATATGCATTTAAAATTTTGAATAATACTTATATCTTTCTCTGAAGATGTATTTAATTTGGAGATGATGCACTCTATAAATATGTGAAAATGAGACTAATTAACCTGTATAATTCTGTATCAACGTAAAGATCATTGGTAAATACTAATTACTAAAAAGAGCGTATATATGTCTATATCACGGACTAAACTAGAATCCTATCGTTTATTTTTTACTTTCTGATTTTCTCAACCAAGTAACGAAGCTAGTAGCTTTTGTCCAACTTTTAAATTGACAAACCTAAAACATGTCAAACGTCTTTACTAGCTGCGATTAAAAATATAAATAATTAAACATCAACAAGCTGCGATTAAAATAAATAAATGAAAAAAAATTCACAAAAAGAAATAAGTTTGTTTTCATAGCCGGACATCAGAGCGTCTTAAAAGTAAACTGCGGAACAACAAGTCGTTTCGATTTCGCAGAGACGTCACGTATTCCAAACACGCGCGTGTCACACGACACGCATTACGACGAGTCTCACCGCAATTGTAAAATCGGAGAAACAGAGGGGAGACGACTTTCTCTGATCAACGAGAGAACATGGAACTGCAAATGGAAGACTCAGGTAAAAATCAAACCTTTACTGAATCAATGCACCTTCGATATCCGTAGAGTTGTAAACAAAAGCTTTTCTGATGAGTTTGTATGACAGTAATGGCTAAAATTGAAGCAGAGAAGACGAAGCAGATAGTAGTGCTTCTGATTGGTCCGCCAGGAAGCGGCAAATCGACTTTTTGTGACACCGTGTTGCGTTCGTCTCACCGCCCTTGGTCTCGCATTTGCCAGGTCTCTCTTTTTTTCTCACTCTATATTGATTGTTTTTTTATTGCACAGAAGCTGACTGATGAAAGTCCTCAACGAGACTAAACTTGTTCCAGATTCTTAGATGAACTTTTGAAATTTATAAAACTTTCTGTTATCCTTATTCACAGAACAAAAGGTGACGCTGTTGTTGATTTGTGCAATAGGTTGAAGTCGTTTACATCTATTTTGGTTGATCTAAGCGAACATTTATCATATATTTCTGGCTTCAGTAGTGGTCTTTTGGGGTTGTGGTTGCGGTTTCGTATGTGACCATACACCTGTTTAGGAACCAAAATGATTCATATGCTCATAATGTGAGACCGAATCCTTAGAACTAGAGCATGGTGATGCTGATTAGATATCTGTCTTGTTAAAGAAATTTTGTTGCTATCAGTTTAAGAATATGTGATGGCTTAGATTTTCATTTGTATAACTTATTTCAGGACATTATCAGCAATGGCAAAGCTGGAACAAAGGCTCAGTGTTTAAAGATGGCCATAAATTCCCTCAAGGAAGGCAAGAGCGTTTTTATAGACAGATGCAATCTTGACAGAGAGCAGCGCTCCGAGTTTATTAAGCTTGGTGATCATGGCATTGAAGTCCATGCAGTGGTTCTGGAGCTTCCTGCTCAGGTTTGTATATCTAGATCAGTCAAAAGAACTGGTCACGAAGGAAATCTACAAGGCGGAAGAGCTGCAGCTGTTGTGAATAAGATGCTTCAGGGTAAGGAGCTTCCGAAAGTGAATGAAGGGTTTTCTCGGATTATGTTTTGTTACAACGATGCGGATGTTGAAAATGCTGTTAACATATACAACAAGCTTGGTCCAATGGATACACTTCCTTCTGGCTGTTTTGGCCAAAAGAATTCAGACACTAAAAGCCAACCCGGTATAATGAAGTTCTTTAAGAAAGTCACTGCTCTTCCTGGTGCATCGTCTAATGGAGCTACTAACACAACTCGAGAAGCTAATGAAAAGACAGAAAGTTCCCGAGTTTCGCCAGCTAAGCTTGGTTCTACTGATGTTGTACCTACACTGGCATTCCCATCAATTTCGACTGCGGATTTTCAGTTTGATCTTGACAAGGCATCTGATATCATTGTCGAAAAAGCAGAGGAATTCTTGCCTAAACTTGGCAATGCGCGTCTTGTCTTAGTGGACTTGAGCCATGGGTCAAAGATTCTATCTCTGGTCAAGGCTAAGGCTTCTCAGAAGAACATTGACTCAGAGAGATTTTTCACATTTGTGGGGGACATAACTAAGCTTCGTTCTGAAGGTGGTCTACACTGCAATGTTATAGCTAATGCTACTAATTGGTAAACGTCCATTATTTTCTTGCTCTTCAGTAACATTCCCAAATTACTGAGTAAGATTAAGAGGGATCATCTTCCATTAATAGCTAATTTTGTAAGTTATGCGCAGGCGGCTTAAAGCTGGAGGCGGAGGAGTGAATGCAGCAATATTCAAAGCTGCTGGTCCAGATCTCGAGACTGCGACAAGGGTACGAGCAAACACTCTTCTTCCTGGAAAAGCCGTGGTAGTTCCTCTTCCTTCTACATGCCCTTTACACAATGCAGAAGGTATTACACATGTCATACATGTTCTAGGACCAAACATGAACCCAAACAGACCAGACAACCTTAACAACGACTACACCAAGGGCAGCAAAACTCTCCGAGAGGCTTACACATCTCTGTTTGAAGGTTTTCAATCAGTAGTACAGGATCAATCAAAGTTTCCCAAACGAAGCAATCAAACAACTATCCCAGATTCTTGTCAGAATATTAAGGAAGACTCTGAGAGAAACAAAAAGTTTAAAGGATCACAAGATAAGGCCTTGGCTGATAATCTGGAATCAGGGTCTCTGGAGGATACAAGAGACTGTGGACAGAAGGTGAGTAAAGGGTGGAGTACATGGGCATTGGCTCTCCACAGCATTGCGATGCACCCAGAGAGACACGAGAATGTTGTACTAGAATATTCAGACAACATTGTTGTGATAAACGACCAGTACCCAAAGGTATGACACAAATTAATAAATATAGTATCTTTCTTCATGAGGCAGATAACAAAACAGGATATTTTAACTGGATTTAGGCGAGGAAACACATGCTAGTACTGGCGAGACAGGAGAATCTAGATGGGCTAGAAGATGTCCGCAAGGAGAATCTTCAACTTCTGCAGGAAATGCACAAGGTTGGTCTGAAATGGGTCGATAGATTCCAGAACGAGGATGCATCTCTGATCTTCCGCCTTGGATATCACTCGGTACTGAAGTCATCCTTTACATTCAGATTTCAGAGCATGGAGTTTTCCACTTTCTGCTCAGTACTTCTGTTTTACTCTTTGAGATACTCGTTTTAGAGTCTCAAGCTAAGAGTTCAGTAGCAAAATCTTCGAAATTGGTATGATGAACATATTATCCTTTTTCAGGTTCCGTCAATGCGGCAACTACACTTGCACGTTATAAGCCAAGACTTTGAATCAGATAGTTTGAAAAACAAGAAACACTGGAACTCTTTCACGTCCTCGTTCTTCCGTGACTCGGTTGATGTACTTGAAGAGGTCAAGAACCAAGGCAAAGCTAATGTGGCGAGTGAAGATCTTTTGAAAGGTGAATTGCGTTGCAATCGGTGTAGAAGCGTACATCCGAATATTCCTAAACTCAAATCGCATGTCAAAAGCTGCCGTTCTCAGTTTCCTGATCATTTACTCCAAAGCAATCGTCTTTTGGCTCGCCCAGAGACTAAGGAATAACCAACCGGTTCAGTTTCGGGTAGGTTTAAAGTGTTTTCTAATTTTAACGGGTTAAATATGTTATATCTTGATATCTGGAAACAATCAGCTCTGTTCTTAGGGGTTTTTTTTTCCTGGTTATTAAGTTTTTTATTTGTCCAAATTGATTAGATGTTAGATGGTGTAATTGTTTGATAAACGATCAAATCAGTGGGACTTTCACTTTTAAGAAAAAACACATATATTTTGAAGTTTATAATGAAAACTTTATTTCGCCATCAAGTGGAGTTTCACTAATTGGAAAGATAATAATAAAACCAACGGTCGAAAAATTCGAAACCAGTAAGAAAATAAACAGAAAGATGCATGAGCTACAATCAAAGATTTGTCTCTCTTTGCTTGCTTCTACTGAGGATTGGGAGGGCGACCATTAGCAGCAGCGACGCGAGATCCCCACTCAAGCAACTCTCTACTCGTATCATCTCTGTGAACAATCACTTCAATGAAACAAAGACAATCTTTCTTCTCTGATGTCGCTGTCTTAATCGCTTCCTCTAACTCCTCCTCGTACTTCACCTACCAAAGACACAACATTCATAATGTTACTACTTCAACACAATTTTCCATATGTTGTTTAGTTTCCACTTGTAATAAGTACCTTTGTAGTCCAGCATTTGCCTTCACCGTTATGAATGGCATCGACGAGACCGGTGTAGTTCCAGTTCTTGATCACGTTGTAAGGACCATCATGAATCTCGACCTCAATGGTGTAGCCACCGTTGTTAATAAGGAAGATGATCGTCTTCTGTCCGTTACGAATCATCGTGGATATGTCCTGAGCAGTAACTTGGAAACTCCCGTCTCCGATGAAAGACAAGACTCTCTTCTCTGGTGAAGCCTGTGCGTACCCCAGAGTTGCACCAACAGACCAACCAATTGATCCATACTGCATCTGAAACTCGTACCTACAATACACAGAAAAGCTTTTTTCAAAATCTTGTGTTAAATGTAAAAGATTCAGTATAATTTGTGTTGGATACGTACCCACATCCTTTAGGCAGCTTTAGTTTCTGGCAGTTGAACCAAGAATCACCAGTTTCAGCAATCACAGCAGTTTCACTAGAGAGCATCTTCTGAATGTGTTGGAACATTGCGTTGACTCTCAGAGGCTCTTTTGGCTCGCACTTCCGTGGCTTACCTTCAGGGACAAAGATCCTATGGTAGTTCTGATAAGCAGTCTCGTTACGCTTCACCCTCTTAGCCAACTCTCTAAAGAACTCGCTCATGCGAACGCAACCAAACGTAGGACCATTAGCTACAACGACACGATCAGGATGCACAATGATGGCTTTTTCTTTCTTGAGGAGAAGTGAGTAACCAACGGAGCTGTAGTCGTTGAAGATTGGACCTGCGAAAATGTAAGCATCCGCAGATTCGACAATCTCATTGCAGAAAGGTGTGCTCACTGCTCCCCAGTAAGTGCCAATGAAATGAGGATGGTTCTCTGGTACAAAGCCTTTTGCAGAAGGCATCACTGCCATGGCGTAGCCTGAAGCATCAGCTAGCTCCACAAAGGCCTCACTAGCTTTAGCCACACGCAACTTCGGACCACCAACCATAACTGGCTTCACTGACTTGTTCAGAAACTCCAGTGTTGCTTCCACCGCAGCTTCTAGACCCATCTTGTTGCTCAACCTATAACAATCCATACATCAGTAATCAAGCTTGATTCATGAAGAGATTAGGAGTGACCAGATATACATACCTTGGAGTTAAGGCAAAAGGGACAGGATCACGAGCGAACGTAGGATGTGGGATTGCAGCTAAGTTACAGCTGATGCTAATGTACACAGGCTTGCTCTCTCTCAGAGCTGTTGATATCGCCTTATCAATCTGTTCATGCGCATCCTCCAAATTGTTCACCACAGCCTTAAAAACAGAACATTACAAAATGCTAATCTTGTGATGACTTGAATATAGTTTAGCGTGTGGTTATTTATATATACCTGGTAACAAGTAACAGTCTGGAAACACCTAAGCTCTTGGCTGAAATCAGGTAAACCAATGGTGTGATGAAGAATCCGGTTAGTGCCGAAATCGTTGGAGTTAGGACCTCCCACGATACATATAAGTGGCAGATTCTCACTGTATGCACCAGCGATCGCGTTCAAAACGCTGAGTCCACCAACGGTGAAGGTCACCACGCAAGCGCCGACTCCACGAGATCGAGCGTAGCCATCCGCAGCGTAACCGGCGTTTAGCTCGTTGCAGCATCCGATGTTTTTGAGCTCTGGCTCGGCGATGAGGTGGTCGAGAAGAGTTAGGTTGAAATCACCGGGAACAGAGAATATGTCGGTGACTCCGGCTTGGACAAGACGGCGGGCTAAGTGACGTCCTAGGGTGGCTTCGGAGGAGGTTACGGTGGAGGGAGAGGAGTCTTGGATTGTTGCCACGGCGTTGCTTGGTGGACTTCCGATGTCACCAGTTGTTGGCTTACAAGTGTCGATGGATCCTATTTTTGTGTCCATTTGGAAAAGTTAGCTTAAGTAATAATTGTGTATATATGATTATGAAACTCTCTTCTAATTGTTTTTTTGATGAGTAATATGAAGGCGGGTTATATAGTTGTGTGTGGTGGAGTAGAGAGAGTATTTATGAGAATTATACATTAAGGCGGTTTCTGACTTTCTTGTGCTAAAAGCAAAATATATTTTCATGAAAGTATTTGCAATTTATGATCTGCTGTCATTTCTCATATTTGCTATTTATTCTGCTGTCGTTTTTTATTTGCAATACACGAAACACACTTGACAGTCCCATTGTATTTTGTAATAAATTTACAAAAAAAAAAATTTGGTATATTTTATTAAGAAAATGCATCATGTTTATATTCTAGACATATCATTAGTGCATCATTAAGCTTCTGGTTGTTGCTCTTTGAACTTGTTTGCCAAGATTACACATTAATGCTTCATTAACCCACTGATTTTCCTCTTAACTACGGTGTAATTTACTCTTACGTATGGTAAATAACTTAGATTAATACAAAGTGCCAAAGAAACGAAAAAAAATATATTTATTTGTGTTATAAAGAAATACTGATTCGTATTGGTCAAGATTTTTTTTTTTTTCATTAAAAGAGATTAGTATCCATATTAGAATTCAATAATTTACATGTGATGCACGTAAACGAATAAAATATTCCATCCTGATTCCATCAATATCTTCTTAAACTCGATAACGCGAGAAATGATAATAATAATTATATAGCCTAGTTTCTCACATATATTAAAAACAATTAGGGGTAAAACTGAAAATAATACATATAGTGGTTAATGTAGCAATTTATAACACCATTTCGAGTCATTTTGTTTCATGGCTTCTTATAATTACAGTAAAACCTCTATAAATTAATAATGTTGGGACCATGAAAATCTATTAATTTATAGAGGTTTTAATTTATCGATAAATTAATAATTATTAATTTATAGAGAGATTTTCTTAATTTGGAAAGTTTTTTCAAAAAAAGATTTTAAAATAAGATTTAATCATGATAATTAGTATTTTATATAATCATTAACAAAAAAAATAATTATTATTATGTCTTGAAAAAGAATTCTAACAATTTTAATATAGTAAAATATTAGAAATAAACTCTGACAAAAAATAATGGGTCTATATATACATATATTTTGAAAATTTTACCTAATTATTAATTTATAATATTGATGGGACCATATATTTACAAAGGATTTTCAAAAAAATATTATCTTATTATTTTATCAAAATGTATCTAAAATTACACTGGTTCCAACTTGGGACCGGAGAAATTTATTAATTTATAGAGATTATTAATTTATCGAGTATTAATTTATAGAGGTTTTACAGTAATTTCTTCTGCTAACATGTAAATATCATTAAAAGTGAAGTTTGAACTTTTCTTGCTTATTCTGACATTTGGGAACAATTGTTTTTTAAGACTTTTCACGATCATGCATCATAAAAGTATTTGTTAAATAATTAAACAACAACAAAACGGAATATTGTGTTAACGTATGAGATATTAAGAATGGACCGATTTATTAAAAAAAAATTATGACGTTTATAAATAAAAGGAGGATATATTTCAAACGTGTATATTTGACGTGTTAAATGATAACCTTCAAAGCTATGTCTTTGTTTATTTCTCAAACCAACAGAGTCGCCGGTAATATATCATATCCCCCACTTGACATCTCCTTAATTGACCACTAGAAGGTTTTTGTCGTAAAGCTAGTGCTAGTTTTAAATTGGTGAAACCAATACGAACATGGTTTAAGAAAGAATGTCGAAAAAACTGCGTTAAGGTAGACCCGTTTTGAGTGTTTAACATAATTTGCTAAGGAGAATTACTTTTCCATTTCACTATATATGCTAAAAAAGTGAAATGTAGTGTGATAACGCAAAAAACTAAAACATTCCCGTTCATAGGGCTTTTACTAGTTTCAACTCTTAGCAATACCCGTGACTAAGGAGACAAGAAACTGTTGAAAATATATCATATCTTCAGGCCTTTTATGATTTTGCATCGGCCCAAATCAGAATCTAATACCCAGCCAAAAGGTTCGGTGACTGGAGACAAAACAAGTCAAGGGATCCGTGACGGAAACAGATCCAACCATCAAGGTTAGACCGATAAAAAGACTTAAGAGACAATCTATTACGTATTACTGCAGTATATAATCTGAATTACGGTTTTTAATTTAAGAGACAAAGTGATCACCGAATATATATACACACAAGTAGTGAGTATTGTTTGTTTGTGTTAAACAACTTTTACGAAACCAATGCCAGTTAAGCTTATTGTCTTGCTCGTTTAGACATAACATCCAGCCAATTTTAGTTGTGAAGTTCAAATGGCGTAAGAATCTGAAAAACATGTTCTGGGCAACAAATTGCGGAGTCCTCTATGTTCTAAAATATGCAAATTGCGTAGATATCAATCTGATGAATATATTTCATATTTATAGTCAGGATCATTCATATATACTAAATAGGTGACAGAATCGATACTGGACTCACTGGAAAAAAAAATGCCAACGAAAGTTTCATACGAATTCAAACAATTGATGACAAATAATTCATACGAATTCAAAAAAATAATGTGGCAGCAAAGAGGAAAAGATCAGTTACATAACGGATTAAGTAACCGATCAAAATAGTTCCTCACTAATGAAGCCATTACATGATTTAGGCAACTGGGAAAAAGAGAGAGATCGATGTTCGATTCACTCGGCAAAAAGTTGCCTATTGTCCTATACTAAAAAAAAAAATACATTCTTCTGATACTTTTTGAAAACCAACACAAAGAACAAAAATCTAAAATCAGCGATTGTATGCAAATAAATTTCCCATCAGAGTAACTATGACAATATAGCATCATATGAATCTGATTTAACAGACCCATAGCTTTAGATATGTAATCCTCATTAGGAAAAATTGAATTCGACTTTGAGAGAGCAAACAAAATCAAAACCAAAAACCGTTTCGAGGAACACTACAGAGAAAGATAGATGAGAAGCTCTAAAACGAAGCGTCTATAAAAAGGAGAGGTTGCTACGATGATGATGATAGAAAGAAGATGGCGGCGGCTAATTAGGGTTTTTGGTACTACATATAAAGAGGCTTGGCAACTGCGGTTTAAATATGTGGGCCTATTTGTTCCAAACATGGCCCATTATTGAATGACCCAAAAGCACTATGGACTTTGCAATTTCTGGTTGAAATATGTGGGCTTAGTGTTCCAAACATAGCCCATTACTATAACCCAAAAGCAATGTGGACTTTGCAATTTCAAGTTAGTGGGAAACTGATGAATTCACCTGACGCTGTTGGCAATTTTCGTGTACTAAGCTAATTTTGTTATCATTTTGTAGTAAAGTTATTTTATTACTACTAAACAACAAAACTTGAACTCCAAAGTTTGATTATAATATTAAAACAAAAAATCGTTACAAGTTGTTACCATCTTATTGTTTTTCATGATCAAATCGATTTTGCGTAGATCAAATCCAAATCCTAACAAGAATTTTCAGAAATAAACCATCAAGAAACACTGATTGAAAAATTAGTGTCTCTCTCTATAAAGGAGCATTCTGGAGATATCTCATCTCGTAAAGACCAGTGACTTGATCAGCAACAGCCCACATAATGGCTTGTCCTGGTGGAATCCTCATTAGCCTTGGCAACAATCCTCTCCACAAAGCCACTAGTCCTTCCTCTGCATATATCGTTCTTATGGCATGAACCATCCCTCTATATCTCAACCCACCTTCACTGTCTCGGGTTTGAGCCATCAACCTCGTTTTCACCACATCAAATGGCCCTGTGCAGAACGGACCTGCTGTCCCAGCCAAGAACCCTGAGATCATTGACTGCCATGGCTGCAAGACTTTACCGTCTCCTTCATGTTTGTTCCACAATAGTACATCAAACGCGTTTTTTGCTGTGAACATTACGGCTTGGTTGGTGCCGTTTCGCATAACCGTAGGTGCTGCACCTGACCATAACCCCAATATGCTTTCTTCTCTCACGATGGTTCGAGCACAGTGTATAGGTCCTTTGTACTTGAAGAGCTCGGGTCTTAATCCTTTCTGCTGCTGAAGTCTAATTTTCACCACCTAAAGAATGCAAAAACAGAGAACTCAATCAGTGTTTTCCTCTCTCAGTGAAAGGAATCCATTGGAAAACTCTTAAATCCATGGCAAGAATACAGTAAAGAGAATCAAACCATATCTCTCTAATCACAACAAGAACAAGACTTGCTTTTTTTCTAACACAGATAAGAACATAGAAACAAGCAAGATTCATAAAGACTAACCAAGTTACTGTTTGTGATAATCAAGAATACGATTCTCAGAATCAAGAATTGGCAATGAACACTAGGGGGGCAAAATTACAATTCCCGTAAACGTAGCAAAGAGATTCGTTCGCATTTACAAAAAGCATCAAAACAGATCTGAAGAAATAATTTTTATTTCCCGAAGACTAAAAATAAACTAATTTATTGATGAACAACAGATAGTTTCTCACTTTCTGGTGCAAGAGTTTCAATTATACCAAACTATAATTAATTATGAATAAACTATAGTTTAAACCGATTCTAAAATCAGTAAATCCGAATATAAAATTAGGGAAAGACATGTGATTTCGTCAGAATTATTTTGTCCTGTAAAGTAAGCGAAAAGGCAGCAAATGTTGAGAAGCTTTTACTACCTCAAAGGGTGTAACAATGGCGAGAGCTTCAAGAACGCCGGCGCCGAATCCGGAAAGCAAACGGCCACGGTTGCTGACCTTTCCGGTCTCGGAATCTTTGAACAAGGTCTGGAACATGGCGTTAGATCCCATCCGGAGCGTGTACTTGAGCGTGAGGTGAGTGGCGAACGGCGTTAAACCTTTCCAGAGAGCACGAACTCCTTCGGTGCGAACCACTGTCGAGCCACAGTGCGAGATTCCTTTGTAAGCGCCGACGCGATCTAGCTGGAGACGCGTTTTGATTACGTCGATTGGTTGGAGACAACAGGCCTCGACCACTCCGCCTAGTGACCCTGACACTGCTTTCATGTACGGCGGTATCTGTTTCTTCCGTTCCGTCGTCTTCGCCGCCGCCGCCATTTTTGAAACCTCCCTAGTCCCTCCGGTGGCTAAGCCAAACAAGAAAAGAAAGAGAAGAAAGCAGAGAGAAAGAGAGAGAGAGAGATAGGGAGAGTCCTTCCTTCTCGTATTTATTGTTTTTGATATTCTTATTTTTGATTGATTTTTGTAAAAACTTTTGCTTTACAAAGAAACAAAAACTAACTAAAATTGTTGCATCCTTAAAATGTTGGAGAAGAACATAACTCTTTTCCTGAGGTGTCATTCGCAAAAATATTCTAATTACAATTATTTTGTTTACATAACAAATAAAAATCAAATTCATATTTAAACAATTTTAATTTTTTCAAAAAAGAAAATTAAAAGAGTTGGTAAAAATACTCAAATGTATCACGGCTCCTCTTACTTAACGTAACGTTTCGCCGTACATGGTGGTTCAGAGTCGAGAGAGATTCCATTCTCATCTATGTATGGTAGTCTCTGAATATAAAGTTTCCATAGCAAATGAAACACACTCTTCCACAACCAGGTAAATTCTGAATTATTTGATTGGTGTAAATCTATTTAATCACTAGTTGTGATTTTTAGGCCTCTTGTTCCTATAAAGGGACCATATTTTGATTTTATGTCATCTTCAGCGGTCGTAAATGCCCAACATTATATTACCCTTTTTAACAAGATTTGATTTTTTTTTTCTTTTTTTCATACCACAAGATTTGATTGTTTTCCTGGGAAGAGTCACTGTAAGGATACAAAAGGGAGCCTGGTTTAAAGGATTTTATAAAGCCTACAAAATTTAGGCATTTTTGCTATAATATTGAGACTTGCAGTCTTGACATTTTCACACCTCAAATCGAATATATATATTTACACTTTTTCAAATCGACGTCAGCCCAAAACATGAAAAATCAATAAACGAGCTCTACAAATAAGAAGCATAGGACGATAGAAATTACTAGACAGAACTTGATATATAAACACTCCTGTCAAGTTAGGTTTAAAAAAAAGAGAAACAGCATCAAAAGATCACTGGTTGTTTAGCCCACAGGCTTATTTCTTTTAAAGCATTCTTTATACAAAGACAAAGAGACCTCTCTACTTGAGCTGAGCCATGCAATTAACAGACTTTATAAGACTCTCACAGCGGAATAATCACTGTTTCTTCATCGACTGCAAAAGTTAACGAGCAGTTTAGATTTCAATGTCACAATGTCTTGAGTATAATCTATGCAAACATAGAAAGAAACAAAACAAAAAACTCACGTCAATGTTCTTAGAAAACTCTTCCATTTGCTGAGCAACTTTCTCCTTGTTCTCTGCAGCTGGAATAATCAAACATCCATTATTTAATAAGATTGCAATAGGAGAGATAAAGCAAATACACATTTGTATTCTAAAGTGTAAGACACAAACCCATTTTTGAGAGATTTTCTATTCTCTTCGAAGTCCTCACAGCAAATCTCTGGAAAGCATGGCTGCCAAAACAAAGCACACAAGCAGTAAACATTTAAGTTCCATGTCTTGTTAACAAGACAGCAATATAACTAATCTTTCGAAAAAGTTAAAAGATCCATAAGGGTGCAAGGGAGTGTATGAAAATACCAAAAGAACAAAACAGAAACGAGGAAACAATGATAAACAAACAAATTAAAGCGCCTCAGACTCTAAGATTCAAGAGTAACGTCATGGTTTTGATCAGGACAAGCCTACGAAAATCATCATCGGCAGAAACCCATTTAAAAGGACAAATTGAAAAAGCGAGATTTTGAGTTATGAGAAACTCAAGTAAACAAAGCTCAGGACAAAACGCATTTCCCTTCCAATCAACATATAGCTTCGAGCAACACGAAGCTGAATGAAGACTATAAACGAAAACTATAACATAAAGTAAAACAATTCAGAACAAAATCTCTCAAACTTCCTACGCTGCAGCGTATGGTAAATTACGTAGCAAACCAGCTGAAGTTGAGGCTATCTCGCTTCGATATGAACGAGCCGATTTTGGAACATTTTTATTAATCCAATCAGCCAGAGAAAGAAGCTTATTAATAATCTACACCCTAAACTCCCAATTTAAAACAACAAAACCTAAATCTCGACTCGACTAATATAGGAATGAGAGAGTACCTGTTAGCCAAACCATTAACTATGAACTCGTTCGCAACGTATGATATAACTCTGGCTATGAAGTTTCCTCCTCCCGCCATTATCGCACTTTCCTATCAATCAACACAGATCCAACGAAACCCTTACGTCAATAATTATCCCCCCAAATAGCTTCAATTTCTCGATTCAAAGCGACAATTTAAGACAAGCTAAACTCGAACCCAGACCTAATTTTATGACAAACGAACAAAAACGACACAAAATCCAAGATGAATAAAGAGATCGAAAAAACAAGAAGAGAGCATCTTCGTAGGAATCAGCCTAACCTGATGCAAAGATGCAAACAAAACGAAGAGGAAGGTTTCGAGCGAGACCCAACAAAACTATGTGTCAAGCCCCCAATTCACATACTCCAGATTTGTCCAATATTATATAGAAGGAGACAACTTCACCGTGACGGCGAATTGAGTTGTTGCGTTACAAGCCTTGGTGTCTCCCATCTGACGGTCACGATGTTCTCAAAGTCAAATCCAACGGTACATATTAAAACATTAGTCAACTTTAACCTAAAAACTCTGTCCTGGAAATTTCTACTTTACCCTTGTTCCTTCCCTCAATTTACAAATCTTTTACGGGACCAGGCCCATCTAGGCCTTATAGTAATTCTGTGCTTTTAGTTACTTCGTTGAGGATCATAACAAAACGGGCTGGGCCGAGTCTGTTTGAACTTGTAGAAAACGACGTAACCATATACAGTAAAACCTCTATAAATTAATACTCGATAAATTAATAATTTTTATAAATTAATAAATTTCTCCAGTCCCAACTTGGGACCAGTGTAATTTTATACACATTTCGATAAAATAATAAGATAATAAATTTTTGGAAAATCCTTTATAAATATATGGTCCCATCAATATTATAAATTAATAATTAGGTAAAATTTTCAAAATATATGTATATATATACACATTAGTTTTTGTTAGATTTTATTTCTAATATTTTACTATATGAAAAATAGTTAGCATTCTCTTTTAATACATAATAATTATTGTTTTATTTGTAATTGATTATATAAAATACTAATTATCATGATTAAATCTTTTTTTTAAATATTGTTTTGAAAATATTTTCCAAATTAGGAATATCTCTCTATAAATTAATAATTATTAATTTATCGATAAATTAATACCTCTATAAATTAATATATTTTCATGGTCCCAACATTATTAATTTATAGAGGTTTTACTGTACATTCAAATCCGACAAACACACAAGAGGAAACAACAAAAAGAGAAAAGGCTTGATGGGTTTTTCCCCGTTTGAATCCTTCCCAGTTTCCTAGCTTGATTTACAACAAATTAGCCAATAAGATCCGGTTCCATGTATCGGGCAATCCAGGTAGACACCAATGTATACAATCAGCATGCCGCATTGGATCAGCTCTCTCCTCGGCTGTTAGGATCTTCCCACCTGTCTCGGTGTAGACTGATGTGTGGGCGTCGATGCGGTACTCAGAGAGCTGCGTGATGTTGATGACTGTCACGTGCGTTGTCATGTGCTTTATGACGCTTGACACCACTTTCATCATTTGCTTGTTGGAGCCTGTTCCCCAGAACTTCTTATCCTTTACTGGCTTCGTTTCGTTGAAACACTTGGTGCCGTTTGGCTTTCCCCAGTCCGCACTTCTGAACGTTTTACATAACACTTTACGTTAATCCCAAGGCAACCACTTTACATTACTTCCTTAACCAATATCTTTTTTAAACATGTTAAAACTTCACCTAGTATGAGTAGGAGACATGGTGGTGAAGAAGACTCTTGTCTTATTAGGGTCAACGGTGGAGTCAACCCAATTAGCCCATGTCTTGAGCCCTAGCCTGTAAGCGACCGCAGTGTCTAGAGCCTCTGCACCACTCGCTCCATTTCCAAACGAACCCCACAGAGCGTTCATGCGGAGACCACTCATCCACCAAACATATGTGTTGAAAACCAAAATATCCGCTCCTTCCCAAAACTTAGCTCGTTCTTCCACTGAGTCCACTTTCACTATCCTTTTCTTCGGATCCGCAATCACAGGTATATCCGTGTTTGATTCGACGATATATGGTGCCCAATAAAACTCAATAGTAGCATTATATTCCTATATATGAATCAACAAAAACAGAGAAAAATTAAGTTTTTTTCGCTTGCAACACAAGCTACAGCGACATATCACCTAAGAAGGTTTGTCTTGCTTTAAATATCGGTCTCTGAATGTACCTTAGCTTTAAATACAAAGTATCTTTGGCTACGCTTCATTGATTTCTCTCCTTCGGGTATTATTGATTCCACCGAACACACGAACGATTCCCATTGGCTCCTTTGCAACGAATCTCCCACAAAAAGTAGTCTTTTCCCTCTGAGTTTGTTCATTGCTAACTTCGGACTAAATCTGTCATAATTGAAGGTTCTGTCTCAAACCATGAACCAAACTACATGTAACTTGTGTTAATAAGTGAGTTGTATTTTTTTTTACCGTGGAATTGTACAGTCATCAGGCTGCCATTCCCACCGAAGATAATCAGTTTCTGGCTGTCCGTTTTTCATACAAGAGAATTGACGGTCGATGTATGGACATGATCTATCGGTGTAGAGTGGTTCGATTGAGCTATTGTAAACCCATTTCCCTGATGCAACATTACACTCTTCAGGATCAAATTCGAATCTGTCGTCTAGCACTTCCAAAATCTCCGATCTCTCTTTTCGAACTTTCTCCTCTGTGCAACAAGGATAATTAGAGGAACGTATATCATGACGTTTCTTGCGTCACAAGAAAGAAACACCAAAACATATTGGACAAAAACAGAGTTTCAGATAAGATTCAAGTGTCCTTACTAGGTTTCGAGCTAATGTCCTTCCTCGGACAAGACTTTAGCTTGAAGAAATATGAAGACGAAGAGGAGGAAGACGAAGAAGACATCAAGCTGATTCTCTCGGTGTATAAGAGTATGAAGAACATGAAACCACAGAGAACGAGAACGATGATGGAGAGAGGAATCTTCTTCACTCCTACTGCACCTCTGTTAGGAATCAAGAAGCTCATAGTGGCAAAATCCGGTAAATGAATGTGGAATTAGAGAGGGAAAGGTGTTACGGGAGAGTGTTGGGTTTATATTTTTTTTTTGGGGGAAATTAAGGATTGAGTAGAAGTGAAGCTTAAGGCATGTTTGGATGTGTTGCTTCCATCTTTTTCCCAATTTAATAAACATGTGGTTAGCAAGGTTAATGAATAATAATGATTGACTATATAGAATCTGTAAACGTGAAATGCACATTGTTATTCATTTGTTCATATTTTTTTTCTTAGATAATAAATCTCCAAGACGTCTTCCGTTTAGTTTTATACATCTAATGAAGTAATTTAAAACAGGTTAATGTTGAATATAAAAAAACTGGCGTTATTTATAGGTCAGAAAACATATATAGATCTAGTTGTATCTGTTTTTTTTTTCAGCTAATGAGTTGTAGACACACATTAGTCTCATTACGTTCGTTATTAAGGAAACTGAAAACAATAAACAGATACTACAAAAAAAAAAACTCTGGGAAAAGCATGGAGTGAGTGTTTGTTTACTTGATTAAATGTGCAAATCAAATCGCTAATCAAATCATCAATCTTCAAAAGTCGTTGTTTAATGTGAGGAAAGAGGAGCAAATAGCTGAGGAATTGTTATCCTTGGCCATCGATATCAGGATTAAACGACGGACAAAAATTACATTAAATATGTATGAATTAGACATGATGAAAACGAAATAAAACAGGCACCAACTAGGCAACTAAACAATGTATAGTAGTTGGTGTTGCTTGTAAAATCAACAATAGTTCCTTTCTTTGTTAGTTATTTTTGGTATTATTGATGATGATTTAACTAAAACAATTATTAAAGGCAAACACGAAATCATTAAGGCTTCTTCTTTCGCAATTAATAATTGCATATATGTAGAAATTTGTTGCAACTTTAGCATGATGAAGACAAAAAGGGGTAAGAAAGTAAAAACTAAGACAGATAAAAAAGATGGAGATGCGGGGTATCGATCCCCGTACCTCTCGCATGCTAAGCGAGCGCTCTACCATCTGAGCTACATCCCCAGTCTTGTTTTAGTGCTGCAGAGTTAAGATTTAGTTCCACTTTTAATCTGGGCTTCTAATGCAGCTGTCGCATATCTCTATGAACTTTTAAAATTATGATAGACAGCATATCTATGGACCCTATCAGACGAATGGTAAATAATTAATAGATATAGCTCGCATACTATAGAAACTTTGCACACTATTCTTCTTGCTAAGGTTTTTGGTATATGAAAAGCATAATTGATTAGAAGAGTTGTTTGATGATTAGAAGAAAGAAACACATATGCATGCATAAGAGGGATTTGGTCGATACTTGATAGGTGATATATAAGGCAAAGGTCTCTTAGGTTGGTGACAATGTCAGAGATTTTATAATTTTTAGAATTTGTCTCTCTGTTTTCGTTTGCCTCTTTTGTTTGCCTGTGTGAACTAAGCGACCGAAGTACTTTCTACTTCACCTTTGAAAACGACGCCACGCAGACGCGGTGAAGTTTTTTCTCGTGTTTTTTTATTTTATTTTTATTTTGAAATAAAAGTTGAAAAAAGGAAAAAGGGAAAGTAAAAAAGAATCTGTAAATATTTTATATACACTACCATTCTAGCTCTTCTTTTTATTTTTTACACTTCGAATTTGAATTTTGGAATCTTTGATCTTCACGATCATGCCTTGTAAAATCAAATAATTATAGATGATTAAGCTATCAAATATAAATATAATTTGACATTTATTGAAAACATAACAATAGCATCATCCTAAGAAATTATAAATATAGTACTAGTATTTTGTTGTGTCACCCGTTGTGCATGAATTATACCAATGAATGAAATTATAAAACCAACGCTTTTTAAAGTGTCGAAGATAAACATATAAAAACAAGTAAGATCTTTTTTGTGAAACATACTAATCGTATTTAAATGCAATGATCAGATTAATCATACCATTATCAATCCCTTAAACTCGGCGACCAAAAAAAAAAAAAAAAAACAACGAACACCTTAATTAAAGTTGGTTGTTCCAAGCATCCGATTATTTTTATAATAACAAAGCAAACTAGATAGGTTTCGAAGAGCCCTTTTTGCAACTTTATAAGTATTCATCTTCTAATGAAGATTCTATTTACTATTCGAAAGCTTGATCCCGCCAATTTATATATCTGATTATTAAGATTAAATAATCTTCTAGTATAGTAGTATATCTTAGATATGAATAGGCTAAACTAAAGTTTGGTTTGTTGATGTATCATTAATTAACAGTATGGCTAAATTTACAGCGTATACAGATCAAGTCTGACAAAATTTACTATCGTGATGTCTAACAAAATCTCAATTCCCATTTCATTACAGCTGCTTTAAAATTCAAGTTTCAACCTGAAATTAAATATGTTTGAAAAGTAATAAAGTACTGTATAGTATATATAGATCGACTCCACATTATGTTAAGCTTTAAAGCAAATAAGAAGAAAGCTTGACGACCATTCTTAATATTTAATATAATACTTACGTGAATGAAAGAAAAAATCTCGAAGTTGTTACACTTACATGACTACCTTTATTTTGAAATAATTGACGAGGCCATTATTAATTCCTGATTTTTTGTTTCCAAAGTATCAAAGTTTCCGTTGGGACCGAATCTTCTTATGCATATCACTTTGGATAAAACTTTATTTTATGATCATGTCTACGTTTTTTCTTATGTTAGCAATAAATATTCTATTATTTTTGTGATAAGATACATACCAATATACATGTAAAAATATTCACAAGTACGAATTTGTGTTAAAAAGGTTAAAGTGAAACCATTAGCTGAAAACATAAATTATTCATTGCAAAACAACATAAAATTTGAGTCGCCAATATAATAAAACTAATCAGTCATAAGCGTTTATTGAAGGAACCACAATGTCACTTTAAGAGTTTCCAGTACTTTTGTTGTTTACTCATTCATATTATAGTTTTGCTTTAATTAATTAGTTGGTGGGTCCTTGAACAAAAAATGACAAATTATAATTTCTTCTTGTCTTTATAAATACCAAAGAACGTCTTGCACATTTTCAACACACACTCCTACTAAGATCACTATCATCAACATTCATCAGCCATATAATATCACCATGACCCAACGAGCCAACCCTAAGACCGGCTGCCTCACGGCGGTTGTCCGCCGTCTTTTATGCTCAGGTAGCCAACAAACTCACCCTTCCGACAACATCCTCGACTCTGACGAAACACTCCAACTACTAGCCCCTTACGAAGAAATCGAAGAGCCAAAGAAAGAGATCAAAACCGAAATCCAAGACGATAACGTCTCTCTCCACGCTCCTCCTCCTCCTCCAAACGTTGTAGCCAAACTCATGGGGCTAGATAATCCCGCACCAGGATCAAAGCGGTTCCGGTACTTTGATGATTCCGGTTCGGCTGTCGCACGGAGCAAGTCGGTTAACTTCATGGACTACATCTTAAGAGGTCACGAGGAAGAAGAAGAAGAGGAAGAAAAAGACGGTAACCGCCAGTGCCGGAGAGTCAAAGCTTCTGTTTCTTTCCGCGAGATAGTCCCAACCTCGGCTAGATGGAGCTCGAATAACCAACAAAAGAAACACGACTTCTTGCTGCTGTATCTCGACAAGCTCGACGAGAAGAAGGAACTTGTCGGGTCATCGTCTTTTTCAAGATCCAAGAGGTTCGAGAAGGTTGTCGAAGATTCAAAGAAGCCGCCATTGCCACCGCCGACAAAGAAGAAGGAGAACGAGAAAGTGGCTAAGAAGTTTAAAGACGAGCCTAGGAAAGTTGCGAAGAAGAAGAAGACTGAGAATCGAAGTGACGTTAACGGAGCTAAGAAAGTTCGTTGGTTCCTTTCACCGTCTAAGAGTAAGTCTTCAGAGAAGACGGCGCTTCTAGGAGAATCAAAGAATATTCCGGCGGATGAGTTTATCGGAAAAGAGAGCGAGTCGCCGGAGAATAAGTCTAACGCTAGTCCTGTCTCGGTTCTTGATCGAGATCTTTATGATTATCTAATCCTTGACGATGACTACTATTTCTCAGGTGAGTAGTCTACGAAATCTTTTTTATATTTGATTGTAAATTACTGTTTTTAAAAATCTCCTTTGAAATTTTGCCAAAAGAGTAATTTCATGTGAGAGTAACTACTTTATGACGTTCACCTGCGAATGAGTTGGTAAAACTTTGGTCATTGGTCAACAGTTTTAGGTTTTTAACCCATTTTAGACTAGTGCACCTTTATTTGAAAATAGTATTATTTTTTTTATTCAAAATTTGACCAATACAAAAAATTTCCATAACCGTGGGATAAATCTTATTTTAAAAAGGGTTTTAATTTTAAGCTTTGAACATCTTCCCTTTGAACGTTATTCTTGGTTTTACTGTAAAAAGCTGCGAAAATGGGACTTTCTCAACGTTTTCAAGAACTTTTATATTTATTTTCCCGATCCTATTTTAAATCTCACTTTAATTTGAAAAAAAAAACAGGAGATTCAGAGAGTGCATCGGAGTTGTCAACAAAGCTGCAGGTAGAGACAACAACAAAATCTTCATGTTCTTCATCACCAGCAAGAACGAAAACAAGTACCAAGAAAGAAAATAACAGCAGCAACAATGATTCTGAAGAGACAGAGTTTATCACAAAACTAATGAATATGCTCTCAGATCTGTCTGAAGAAGACATGAAGTCTTCCACTTGGGTTTCTGCTTCGTCAACTAAACCCGTTGACTTTACTCAAGTCGAAGATTTTTGTGTCGAGTTTGGTCAAGAGATTCTTGACCTTGTTATGGACCAGTTAGTTGATGAACTCTGTATCTACTAGTTTTTTTTTTATCTCAATTATCACAAATATGTCGTGTTATAATCTTATAATTAATCCAATCGTTAACCAAAGACTCGGAAAAATCGTATAATTTTATCACTCCACATGTTCAAAATTGTTGTGCCGATATAAGTTATTGACAAAAAAATTAATGATTTAACATTTATGATTACTAATAAAGACTATGATACACTCGTTTTAAATAGTACTTTAGACAAATGTACCTATCCAAAACACATATACGATAACCAAATAGCACAAGGATAATCTTTGAGTGACTCGTATACATATCATAAGAATAAAAATTATTATTCAAATTCGATATGATTGAAACTTAATGCATTATAAATATATATATAGTGGTCCAAAAAGAGTCAAATCGGTTTTTATGCAGAGCCCCGTAACTTCGAAATACGTACTGTCTCCTTTATGTCTATTTCACATGCAAATCGTGGTCTCCTTCTAACGTTACTTCTTTGACGTTTTTTTGTATTTTTCTTTGAGGTTCACATGTAAAACTCTTCGACATTTTCCCACTCTAATCTATTTAAATTTCGAATTTATAAAGTATTTTTAATAATTTATAAGCTTAAGAAACAAAAAGAAAAAAAAAACGCCTAAACGTTGAAGGTTCTCGTACTGGTGACCTCTCAGGGTATTGCTCCAAGGTTCAAACCAATTGAGCTAACGCGGCGAGTGAGTCATCGCGTTTCAAAAAAGCTATTTAAACTATATACTATCAATGTGAACGCGTCGTAACACGGTTTCATGTATTTTAACTGTTGCGCTTGCGATGGTGTTGGGTAAGCTGTCTTGCAAGAGAAGAAAAGAATATAAAGAACAGATTCTTTCTTTATAATTTTAGAATATCTACTTATGAGAAAATAGGTTTATATATATAAATATGGATATGATCACAAATAACGCGGTGAAGTAATGTGGGACAAATGTGAATTCATAATTTGGAACAAAGACTTTTGTATAATTTTTGTTTATCGGCTGATTAACAGTTTGATTAATATCATCAAACATTGTTACGAACAGAATAAAGTAGCTAAAAAGTATTAAACCAATTTGCTTTTGTACACCTATAACTATCAAAAATAGAATTCAGATTAGCTAGCATCTAATTATTATCAATACAGTGGTAGTTACTTTATGCACATTTATATAGGGGGTTAACCTATTAATTGATATATTCTTCATTTGATTTTAAACAAAATGGTTAAATTAATTTATGTACAGTGCTTACTTGCTCGTATTAACTCGCTCTCTATATTATAGATTGAAGTATTATTTTTCTTCAGCAAGAATTTCTTTTCTTTTCTTTTAGAAAAACATTTAAAACTATGAATTAATTATGAACTCAAACACTTGGGGAGACATTTTATGAGAGCTGACAACAAATTTAATTTGAGTATAAAAAATTAACCGTACCAGCCTCCCCGATCGATCAAACTGTAATTTGGTTATAATTCGTAATCCTATATTTTCTATCACGATATATAACGGAAACTATCAAAATTTGATCATTTATATTTCTTTTCCAAATATCATCAAATAGTTCACATATATAAATAAAACAAACTTAAATTTAGATATGGATCTAAATCGATTTGCCTAACAAATTAACTAGCTAATTAACTCATGTTTATGAGAAATTAGAAACCTTGACTGTGACCATGATGATGATCATTATTATGATCTCTGTTAAGCTTATTAAGCAAAGCGTCAATGAGAGTGTCTCTCTTTTGAGCCCTAGCTTCTTCTCTCAGCCGCCTCTCTTCCTCTCTCTCCATCCACCTCCTCTCTGCGGCGGCTCTCTCCTCCTCTAGCTCCGCCATCCTCCTCCGCCATTCTCTCTCTCTCTTCTCCCTCTCTCTCTCCTTCATCTCCCATGCATCTCTCCATTCCTTCTCCATCTTCACCGTTTGCCTCATAAACTCCTCCAGCACTTCTTTTATTGTACTACCAGCGGTTTCAGCTTTAGCTACACCTTTCCCTTTTTTAGCACGTTTTCTTGGATTGGTGGAAACACTAGTAGTCATCACTTCTGTCGCTTTCTTCTGTGTCTCTACTAAAGACAATAGTTCCTCGTTGATCTCTTGATTTGGCTCGTCGGCTTCTTCTTCTTCCTCTTCTTCCTCATCAGATGAAAATTGATTATGTTTTCTCTTCGAGGAAGTGCTTGGTTCTGTCGCTTCTGACCACAGCATTCTTTGCATTCTTGCTGCGAAGATCGATTGAATCTCGTTGTAGAATGGGAAGTGCTGCCGAATAGCATCTGGCTCGGTCGTCTCACACGCCTGTTCCATACATGTTCAATATATATATGTTAGTTTTATATATAGTACCTACACAAAAATATGTATATATTAATGTATAAACAATTAGTATATTAACTGGAAATCATAATCTCGAATAAACATGTTCATCTATATACAGTATATATATATATCATCTAATAAGAAAACAAAAACATGTTCATCTGTGTATCACGTTCCTTTTAGCTTACAATAAATGTATATATATAGACGTTTTCAACTATCATGATGTGTTCAGCAGTAACGGTTCTTATTAGAAATTTTATGCACCCGTTATATAACGGTAATTAATATTTTAGTGGCATGTTGTGAACACGAGATGTTACTTACCATGTGATTTAACGAACAAAAAAGGAAGAGATTTTATGGTATAACGGATCAAAATGTGAACATAGGCAGTATCATGATGAAAGCTCACCAATAAACGCGTAAAAAAATTATTCTCTATAGCTCGTTACCATTAATGGCAGGACCGTATCTAAATAACCTAGGAGATTAGGTTAAGCTCATTAAATGAAGTATACAAAATATAGTTCACCTATACATACACCATAAACTAGGTTTCCGTTTCAGTATGCGCATACTTTCATGTCTAATCACTCAAACTAGTGCTAACATACTAATACATAACTATAGTTTCACAAACCATATATACTGATAATGATGCATATATATATATATATATACTTGTAATCATGCTAACAACATCTATAGGTGTATCGAGACTATATAGAGATAAATAGATTATAGATAGTTGAATTAGGTAACCTTGTATCTGGTGACGAGGTTCTTCCACTTGCTCTTACATTGTTCTGCGCTCCGGACAAAACCCTTGTCGGCCATCTTAGCAGCCACGACTTCCCAAAGAAGCTTGTTACGTTTGGTCTCCATGAAAGTCTGATCAAGCTCTTCTCTTATACCCAAAAGCTCCTTCGTCTCTTCTATGCTCCACTGTGGGATTCTCTCACCTCCTCCTCCTCCTCCTCCACCGCCGAGATCCATAGCCGCCGTCGTGCTCTGTGGCGGCGGAGGAAGCTGCTGTTGCTGAATCAAGTGATGATGGAGCTGATGGTGGTGATGGTGATGCTGGAAAGGGTTACGTCGGTCCATTGTTGGAATCGAATTGTCTTTGTGACGTAAAGAGAACAAGAAGAAGAGAGATAAAATTTTTTTATTTTTTCTTATTTGTAGGGTGACATAAATGAAGAGACTCAAGAGAGGCTTCTTTGAAAAAAGAGGAGAAGACAGAGAGGAAGGAAAGAAAAGAGAGAATTTTAATTAATTTATAAGGAGGTGTGAAAAGAAAGTGTGAAATCGCCGAGGACGATAGAAGTGTAGTTTTTTGTTTTTTTCTCTAATTTATAATTAAGAAAGAGAATTTTATTTTATTTTAAAAGAAAATAATTGAATATGCTAGAAGTAATAGAATTATATTTAGTTGAATAAAATACGAACACGAATGCCTCTTTTCTTTAAGTGAAAAAGACATATATCGTGAATACATTATAAAAATATATAATAAAGTTTAGATTTCTTTCTTCTGATGATAAAGTTTAGATTTAAAAGCAACAAACTGAGTAAATCATACTTTTCTTCGTATTATAAAGTTTTGAGGTACTGCAACATATCAAATCTCAAGACAATTATAGGGGTAATTAACTATAAAATCGAAAAAGTTTTGTGTTTTTTTTTTTACAGATTGATGATTAGTGTGCATCATTCTAACCATATTACCAAAATTTGTAAAAAGTTATGGAAGTGCTTTATTTTTTTGGTTGGGCAAGCTGAAGGGCACACACAACTCAACGGTCTCATATTTATTTGATTGGTAGTTTTCCAAAATATATAAAAATACAGCGTTAACATCTCGTCATGCTTACGAGTTATATGAGTTCGCAAATCTGATTTTTTAACTTTTCTTTTCTCCATCAAAGACTTCTGGTCTTTATGCCATTGCCTAGTCAATTGACCCACTAGATTTTCCTCGTTCCATTAGCCTCGTATCTTTTTTTTCCCTTCTAAAGATTTATATATTTTACGAAATTCATCTTGAATGTTTGACAGAAAAACATTAAAAAAAACTATAGGATCAAATATGCTTTTTAAAAGTTAGAGGAGCTCAAATTCATAGCTTTATAAAAAAGTGGTTATATTAGATTACTCTAGAGAGAGAGAGAGAGAGAGAGAGAGATAAACAGGCAGTTACAGAAGTTTAAAATTCTGGTTGTTAAAATATTATTAATTCAGCTTATATTATACAAATAGGAGTAATTAAGTGAGAATAGTAGTAGTAGTAGCTCAGTAGTAGACACCTAACGTTCCTAAAAGAAAACGACTAATTAAGCTACTGAAAACAAGACTACCGTTATGATGGTAATACAAATTTGATTGGAAATGTAAAATTGCCCTATCGAAGCCCAAAAAAAGAAAAGAAAAACGTACGTTAATGTGTTTGAACTGGAGGTGATAATGATTTTATATCATCGCAGTCGGCACAAAAAGGAAATGATAATATGAAGGAACTTAGAAAATGTTGAATAATGATTTGATCAGAAAGTGAATGGATGCGCAGCAAATTATACAACTGTCAATTAAAGAATAATATGGATTCTGTTGCATATTATTCGAAGCCGCGTCGTCGTTGCAATTCTGGCATATATATGGATACAACCCAACCCCTCGTAGCTAGTTAAAAATTATGAGTGAGATATATATATGTGGTACGGCGCCAGTCAGTATACATAGGTAAAAAGAAAGATTCTCTCTCGTGGGGTTTATGTTTATAGCATCTGTCTCTCAAATGTTGTGTTATATGTAATGAAAGTAACAAAAATAGTCAGCGAAGTGGTCCAATCCAATGGATATAATGGCTGATGAAGTGAAGCCGTGTTGTTTAGACAGTTTTTATTAGAAAACCCAAAAAAAAAAAAAAAAAAAACTTACATGAGAGTACTGCACCAGAGAGAGAGACAGAGACTAGACTCCTTCTTCGCTCCCACCTGTCATCCCACGTGGATCCAAATATTCACACGTTATTTCTTTTTAATTTTTTACTTCTTTTATTGTTTTTCATGCTAAACTTAATCCTATGTGTCGACTCATTCAGGGAATCTCAATTTCGTTCATTTTTTGTGGTCTTTTACAAGTTACAACTATTTTTTTTTTCTTTTTTAAATTAATAGAGAGATTGTGAAGAAACGAAATGCATGTATACATAAATTAAATGAGAAGGAAACTGTGAATAATCAAATCAAAACCAAAATGTTTTATTAGTGTTTTCTAATAAAAATGGAATTAATCAGCAGAGCTGTCAGCTACGCGGTGTCTTCGTTATATTCCGCGTGTGTAAACTCCCCTCCCCCACCATTTTTACCGACGTGGCTATCTCTCTACACAGACGGACGGACTAGGCCTCTCTCTCTCTCTCTCTCACGAATTCATTTTATTATTTATTTTCTTGAATACTTTTTGCTTAATCAAAGGCTTAAATACTTTTTGCTTAATTAAAGGCTTAACGCAAGAGCCACTAAACTAATCCTACCACCAAGTCCCCCATTCTCTTCTTGTTTATTATATATATATTTTTTTTATTGAGGTCAATTTTGTTAGGGTAAATATATCTTTCTCCGGATTATTCGGAACTTTGTTACCAGTTACCACCGCTTACTACTTATACTGCTTTTTATCCATGCCCATCGATAATGTTTGATCTTATTTCAGTTTATTGCATTAAACTCTCTAATATTCTTCAAAATAACATTCTAATCTGATTTTCTTTTCTTTTTTCTTTAATCTTTAAAATCTGTCCTCAATTTATGAATGTAGATATAACTGATAATAAGTGGAGATAGACCTAAGTAATAAATCTGTTTTTCCTTCTTATTCTTTGACAAATAATAACAATCATTCTATGTCAACATCACCACGTGAGGGTTGAAAAAGATTTTAATGATGGAATTTTAATACGTGACAAGGTCAAGATTGAATGTGAGAAAAACGTCGTATTGTATATTGATTTCTTTTTCATTTTTATAATGAATATTGACAAACCAAAAAGGTCTTCTTTATTCAAATTTCCCCTACTATGATTTAATCAAAATTTTGACAAACTTGTTCACGTTGATTTGTAGTCTTTCAAAATCTGTTGACAATAATGTTTACTATATTTTAAATACAAAAGTTGAAGCTTTCGACGGTATTAACAACTTCACTAGTCATTTGTCACTAGTCAGTCATTACTAAGTTAAACGATCTGGTGGTATTTCACAATTAACTCTACCAAAATGCAACCACAAAAAAATATTATAAAAAGAACAAAAATAACATCTTCTTCTGCTCCTAGACTATTTTCCCAAATAGAAAACTAGTAGACCGTAACAAAAAAAAAAAACTGAAACGAGATGATGACTCAATCTTGGACATTCAAGATGACAACATCCGCTTTATCCCTGATTTCTGCTCAGCGGTTAGCTTCGAAGGGAACTTGATTATGAATCTGATTCTCAAGTTTCCTTTTCTTGATGGATCTTTAGGGATCGGCATGCCTTCGCCTTTCACAATCTCTTCGTACGACGGGCTGATCACATTGTTTACCGGAACTGTTAGGCTTCTCCCGTCAAGAGTAGTGACCTGCGCGGTGCAACCTGTGAGAGCTTCCACCAGAGATATCTTTTGCATTACCACCAGATCATTCCCGTCCCGTTTGAAAACGGAATGCGGTTTCTCATCCACGATGAAAACAAGATCGGATGGAATGATTCCGCGGTGCTCGTTTCCTTTTTCCAGGAAGGTTATCTTTGTTCCTTTTTTCCAACCGGGTTTGATTTCTATTGTCAAGATCTCCTCTACCGGTGTTGGCCTCCTGCATCGGAAGCACACACTACAGGTTTAGTAAGCAGCAAAACATAGACAATTATAAATCAGCAATGTCCTGATGAAAATTGTCTGAACTACAGAAAGTTGCGCATGGATTTATTCTTGGACTCAATTGGTCTTTGCTCGCGAAAAGTAAATATTCAATAGAGGTTAAACAAACTATCTAAAAAGGGATAGGGATCAATCAGAAACTGGTTGACTAGGCCAAGGAGGTTATTTATAGCTATCGGTTTCTACACTTAGAGAGCTCAGAGAATGAATAAAAATCACAGGGATCACGACTTACTAATAAACTAACCAAAACCTGTTGAAAAGAAGAAGTTTGTAAGAAGATGACTCTATAGACTAAAGATTTGAAACCAAACTCCAAACACTACAACAGTCACAGAGAGAGAGAGAGAGAGAGTTTAAACTGTCCCAAAAGCAGCTGGTAAAAGCCAAATGTGTGATTCAAAAAAGGCAGGGAAGGAAATGGAAAACAAACCCAAAGGAGTCGAGAACATCACGAGAGATCTTCATCTTCTTGGAGACTCCTTTATACAAATCCTCCAAACTACAAGGCAATTGTCTCTCAATAGGAGCAGATTTCCTAGCAGGGATGGAGGTATCTCCGGAAACAGCAGCCCTCAAGGAAGCGAAGATGTCATCGCCATACCTAAACGCAGAAGGTCCAGCTCGTGAGTCGCTTCCCGAACCAAAAGGCCTCTTTAAACCAAAGAAGTCGGAGAAGATATCATCGGCGCTTCTGGTATTGAATCGGAAAGAAGGACCGGGGTCTGATCCTCCGGAGCCGGGTGGTGGGGCTTGGTTTAAACCTTCTTCACCGTATTGGTCGTAGATTGCTCGTTTTTGAGGATCACTCAGAACCTAAATGGAAGAAACAGAGCACAAAAGGAAGTGGGGAACTGCATGATAGAGCTCACAAAAAAAAGGAATTTTGTAAAACCTACAAAGATTGAAATTGGAAGAGGGGAAGCAATGAATACTGACATCGTAAGCTTCAGAGATCTGCTTGAATTTAGCTTCGGCTTCTTTTTTGTTGTTAGGGTTCTTATCAGGATGCCACTTCATGGCCAGTTTGCGATAAGCTTTCTTAAGCTCGTCGTCATTTGCACTATGATCGACCTGAAGAACCTTATAGTAATCCACCCCCATCTTCTTCTTCAATCGCTCTCTCACTGAATCTTCTTCTTCTTCTTCTTCTACTTCGTATCCTTCACTGGATTTTCTGGCTCGGATTTTAGGGACTACTGTATATATATTTTCTCTTCTCCGCCTTTTGTTATTTTTTGTTTTCTTCCAGAATTAACAATGTAACCGAACTGAACCGATCTATAATTTGAAATCGATACACTAACCGTTCTTAATTTAACCGGAAACCAAGCTTAACTTAATAGGCCTAAATATTGGGCCTTTTAAAAAACAAGCTGCTTGGTTAGGTTTCAGACATTGGGTCTCGACGTTGACCCGATCACAAACATTCTCATGACAAGAAAATTTTAAGAAAAAAGGACTTTTTTTTTATTAGTGGTCAATTTTATTGAGATCCAAGAAAATAATGTCTGGGGCACACAAACAATACAATCGCTAATGACACAATCTATAATGAAATCTACAAAATTCATTTTCAAACAGGAAAAAAAATGCTACAATACATGGAAAGAAGAAGATTTTCCACCCTGATCGAGGCTGCAATCACTCTTCTTCTCCGACACAGAGAAGTAGAAGCAACCTGAATTTACTAAGAATCTCCTTGATAAGCTCATAACAGTCTTATATGAGGCTCCTCTTCTCTCTCAAGTCGAGATTATTCAAATTAACATCTGTCATAGTATGTTACACTCACTCTTCTTCTTCTTCAGAAGATTCCTTTGATTTCTCACTTTTTGTCACCTCGTTCTCAGAGGTTGCTGTGTTCTCTGTCTTCTCATCATCATCACGCTGTGTCTGGCTTGACGCTTGAGAGTCTGATGTTCGAGTATGGCTCATTGGTGCTGGAGCACTCGAGTCCGATACTTGTACGCTCTGACCCATTTCAGACTGGCCAGTCCCAACAGGACTGCTTTGTGACTGACTCGTTTCAGACCGGCCCATACCTACCGGACTGCTCTGAGACTGACTCATTTCAGACAGGCCTGTAACTATAGGACTGTTCTGAGACTGACTCATTTCAGACCCGCCCGTACCTATGGGACTGTTCTGAGACTGGCTTATTTCAGAGCGCCCCGTACCTATGGGACTATTCTGAGACTGACTGGCAACTACCTGACTGGGTTCCTGGTGATCTGTTTTGGAGGGACTTAATGGTAAAGAAAATTGCTCAGACTGGCTCGTTTGCTGTGACTCACTTGCTTGCTGTTGCTGTTGTTCCCGACTCGTTTGAGTCTCATTCGCTTGCACATGGCTCGTTTGTGTTCCTTGAGAATCAGGGACAAGTCCAAGAACAACCAATGTAGACCTACCAACAAAATATGTACATATCTCTGTGATCAGCACCAAATGAATTTTAAATATCTGAAGTTGATTGTTTATAAATGAATTCAGGGAAGCTTGAAAGAGGAAATGTTACCTTGGAAGTGAAGACTGAATCTCCGGCTGGCTGGCATGCGCGGTTAGTGGAGCTCTTAATGCTGAGATTTTAGTCAATGCATTTCCCAGTTGAGGTGAAGGAAGCTGAACAATAGGAAATTCAGTGAAAATCCCCCAATTAACGATTAGTCAAGGATCACAGTTTCAACACCGCTTTTTGATAGATTGGTATAGGTAATTTAACAATTGTGGAAGAAACTTATAATCGCACCTGTAGTAAGACCTTGTATGATTGAGGCTGTGTTGTCTGTACACATTTCAAAAACCCAACCCACAGTTTCGGATATTTCCATATCTGAGGCATACATATATAGAGAGCCACAGTTTTATTTTCAACACACAGTCAATCATAAGAATGGAATTATGACATTTCAAGAACATTACTGACCTGTTTGCTAACAAGACGAGAGAGGATCTCCAGGATGAAGTCGGACTATTAGAATATCAAAAGGTAGAGAGATTATTCAGTGAAAATAAAATGGGATTGCAAAAAGAGAAGTGATAAGTTTGTTACCAGAGCTGGAAAAGCACCGATAGCTTGTAAAACTGTACGCATGAATAACATTGGCAATGGAATTTGCTGGACCTGCAGCCAAAAACTTCCCAATAAGAAAAAATGTCCGGAAGAAAAAAAGAGATTAAAACCTGAATTTGAGAAAAAAACTCGTAAGATGGAGACTGTTATAATAATGTACCAGTTGATTCAGAACGCTGGCTAAAACCTGTTGAGTGAATGTCTGCCTCTGCGCAAAACAGGTATTGCATGCATCTGTGACCTGATAAGAACATTAATTAAAACATAAGATTAGGGATGCCGCCTCGGTGTTTGATGGTAAATTAGGTGGCCGCGATTTCCAAACTGTTCATCAAAGCTTATATCTTTTGTTTGCTGTATGTTAATAAGTAAATGGTCGAGATATACCTGTTTAAGTGGTATTCCATCTCTTGCTGGGTCAATGCTATGGATAGCAATTAAAACTTCAGATGGAGAAAGCACTGGGCCAGACTGAGATGATCCCTGAGAACCAAATTCCAGAGTGAGCAGATCAAACTTCACTCAAAAGCTAGACGTAAGATATGAATATGTTACCTGCAGCACACGAGAAAGTGCAACTTGGAATTTCTCCATAGGAAGATTCACCATATGTGGAAAAATGCGTAGAACCTGATTGAAAGACAAATTACAAGTTTAGGAAAATAAGACAACTATAACCCAATGCGTCAATAAAAGATAGAAAACGTAGGAACAAATATTTACATCGTCTCTTGGCAGGAACGGCAAAATTGGGAAAAGAATTTCTACATCCTGTACTCCCCAAAAAATTTCATAACCAACGAAAAATTAGAGAAGGTTTAGTTTATCCTTTTGCTAGTAAGGATTTTTCAATGAACATTTTATTGTCTTCACCTTTATTCTTGTATCAAACAACTTTCTTATAGTAAGTACCAATTCTGAAGAAGGCGTGGGCCCCTCAGTGAGGGTTTGAAGAACCTGTCATCGAGGAGGAACTATAAGGAAATAGGAACAGTACACAACTATATGAAGCTCTTTCCTCTATTTACATTATAGAAGAGAAAGTCAAGAATGATGAAAAACCTGCATTAGAAGGTTCTCACTCCCACTTGGTGGGTCTCCTATAATTTTAAGAAGCTCAGAGGATGAGCCCATAGTACGAACTAGTATTGGGATTTGAAGATGAATAGCCTACACAAAATTAAAACTGAGAATAAACACCTGAGAAGAAAAGTTAGTAATATTATAAAACTTCTTAACTCTGACCTGCTTAACAGGATCTGATGCATTCTTGTAAATGCTGAACACATGAACAAAAAGGGAGTGCTTCTGCGAATCATAGACACATAAAAATCAAAATTTTTAGCAATTTTTTCCCACAGACTTAAAAAGCTAGCATTAGTCTAAGAATGGTAAAAATTTACAAGACCTTTGTACAAAGAGCAAAATAGAGTGACAGGCAGCGTTGAGCTTCAGAGAGTGAAGCTGATGATGTTGCTTCAGAGGGCATATCCATACCACTAATAACGGGCTGTGGTTTATTTGGTGGACTTTTCAGATCAAGATCCTTCTAGAGATAAAAATATATGGTCAAATATTTCTTATGCAGTTTTCATATTAGTAATAAAGAAAATATAAATGCATATACAACTCCAAAAACAGATTATTTTGATATAAGAGAGCACCTTATTACAATCATCAATCCGTGTTTCAGCATCTCCTCTCTCTGAAGAAATGCAACTTACGACGGAAAATAGACTATTCTTTGCAAATTCTTCAATCTGTTGCGTAATGAATGATATAGAATAGAGCTTGTTTGCCACCTGTAAAATGACACACAATTATTGAAGTGGTAATACATCAGCAGCTGCATACATTGCATAACACGTTTTTAGAGAAACATACCAGGCGGATTGCTTTCATGCGAATCTCTTCCAAGTGATGAACAGCACTCTTTAACATAGAAAAAAATAAATATAGTGAGAACCCCATAAACAAAAATAAGAATATTACAGCCTTAGCAATATGAAACTGTCAAATGCTGATTAGATAAAATGAAAACAGAAGGTCAGAAAAAGAAAAGAGAAAGAACCACAAGCACAACGCCGAATTTAAAAAGTGCACTGAAATGTGATAGATGAATTAAAGCTGAACCAAAGAAAAGGGAATCAGCAAAGCGGTGAGATAGAAGGAACCTGCAACGCAATCTTCAGGCAGTCACTCCGGATTCCAGGTCTCATTAAAATAAGGCTCCAAACAGCACTGAGACCTTGAGTAACTCGGTCTCCATTCTGTAAATCCTTTTGAACTTCTTCACCACTTCCAGGACAGCAAAACGATTCCAACAACTTCAGAACTGATTTGGGCAGATGTGGAGAATCTCCAAGCAATTTACTTAAAGATTTGTCAGACGGTGGAAAAGAATCCCTAAGTGCTTCAGCCTAAAAGGTAAAAATGTTTTCTGAGAAATTTCCCTAGCATAAAGTTGACTAAGATGCAAAAAATGAATGCTTACCACAGTCAGCAAGAAACTTTCATATGCAGACGCAGCAGTAGTTGACGAGAAGAAATCTTGTTCTGCTTCTGCCTCCCCGTATAGCCTGTAAAGAACCCGCACAGTCAGCTCATGTCCCTGAAAACATAAGAAAAAGGTAGTCAGATAAATAATTTTTGAATCAATTAAGAATGTCATCCAATAGAAGACTAAGATATTCCAGAGTCGAGGTAGTTCAAGAGCCCATCAAGATTAGAAAATATACCAGGATAGAAAGAAAGAGAGAGTCAGAAACTAAAATATTATCTCTAGCATAAGGATTTCACTTCCAAATTGGGCTTTTTGATGCTACCAAAACACAATAAGCATGTATCACGAATACACAGGATTCACCAATCCAATTGTTCAACTTTGAAGTCACGAAAAAAAATTCTCACCTCATGATTCAAATAATCCGACAAAACATGCTCCTGTAATATTTTCCAAGGGTCTAACTCTGAAGGAAACTGCAAAAAAAAAAAAGAAAAAAAAAGGAAGATGTGAAGATCAATTACTGAAAGATAAATTTTACTCAAACAATCATCTTGCCAACTATGGCGCATTTAATAGGCAAAAAACAGGAAAGTAGAAATAGCGATAGAAATCAAACATAACAATCAGTAAGCACTAGAAATATCCTCTTTCTACCAAAAACGAGGCTCTTAAGAGTAGAAGCAAGAGAGACAAGAATCATGCAGAGGCCATTATGTTCAAATAAATTATAAAAACTATCTGAAGAGTAATAAGTCATAAGCTGAACTAAGAAGAAGCTTGGAGAGGGCCGCCTCCTTGGAACGAAAAAATGTCAAAATATATAGATTAGAAACTGACCTCAACTCCCAGATGAGCAAGAAGAGAAAAACGGAGTTGTGAACCACCAGACATTGATATTTGTTTATATGCTTCAACAATGCGCAAAAACACCAGCTTCTGCAAACTGTCTTTCTCTTCATCAGAAAGGTCGACAACAGGTGCTGATATCTTAGGCAAGACAAATTGGGGCGCAGAAGCAACTGAAGTTGCAGTTGACAAAACCAAGCTGGTGGAATCTGTGGCAGCCGCCTTTGGACTAAATTCCTCAGACTTATCCACAGACATTGAAGGAATTGCATCGACAAGAAGATTTCCACTGAAACTCGCATTTTGATTCTTGGTTGCAGTCTCCACATTCATGGTACTGTCATCAAGTTGAGCAGAAGAGACCAATCCAGGGATTCCACTTTCTATATTCTTTATATAATGCACGTTTGGTGGAAACACATTACTGTCATCTTCATTTTCTGGAAAAGAGGCATCAGAAGAAGCTAATAAGCCAGTTTCAAGAACTGCATCTTCAGCAGGAAACATCTGCTGGTCCACATGAACAGCAAAGACTTCTTCATCTTCCTGTTTTTGGTTAGATTTTTAGTTTACAATACAATCGTAAAGACAAGAAGGAAAAACAAAGGAGCATAAATGACGCAATAAAATATAACAGATAGAAATACTTAATCGAGCAAAGAGCACCCATACATTTTCAGTTTTCGGTATGCGAGGATTTATCAGAGCAGCAATTGGTGGGAACGCAGTTGACAGTGAAAGGACAGCAGCTACAAATGATGGGGGATATTTAATTTGCGCATCACTACCAACTATACCCATATTCATCACCAACTCATTGGTTCCATCAGCATATGAAGAACCATTTGGTGGAATGTTATGCATATTAGCCATCACAACATCAGTAAGCAAATCCGCAGAAATACTTTTAATAAGAATCTCCAAAGATCCAATTGCTTTTTCACCCTGAGCAACCAAGGTTCCGAACATATCAACTAATTGCTGAACCGGTCCAGTATCACTCACTCCTCTGCTATTACTTGGTCCGGTTGAGGTAGCAGCAACCCGAGGTAGAGAGCCACCATCATTACCATTTAATCCGTCGGTCGATTCTTCTGATACAGAAGGTGTTATTCTTGCACGTTTTCCATTCAACGCATCTCCATTTAGATCAATATTGTATTCTGATCCAGATCTTTTCCTACCAAAGTTACTTTCCGCAACATCAGAACTAGCACATAGAGGATTATCGTCCACAGATACCTGTAATTAATAGTTCTTAAATTTTATTGTCTGCATCCAATATACATAAGCCAAAATAAATGGAGAGACACATGCACAAACAATGATAAACATATAGATGAAATTATGAATGGAAAGAGGAACAAACTACCTTGGTATCCTCTGTACTGTCTTTGTCCTGAATGCTTCCGTTAGTCTTGTAAAAAATATCTTTAGCTTTGCCTGCCCGACATCCACCTTCTATTTCTTTAAGAGCACCGATCAACCGATCCTTCCACTAGAGAAAAATGACAGCATACAGATCTAAATAGTTGCAAGTTTAATATGAAAATCGACTCCATAGAGAATAAACCACAAAAATTATAAGAATGGTTATACTACTATATTAGTTGATTAATAATGATAGGATAATAGACAGACCAGCATAATAGACATAATTTACTACATCCAAGTACATAAACTAACAATCTACCGCAAATATTTGGGAAGATCAAATATAAAGCATGGGACAATGGTCGTTTAGTTGCAGTGAAATTGTGTCCCAGCTCAGCATGAAGAAAATAATCAATAATACATAGAAAGTAACAGTGAAGTAAATCCTTGGAGGTAATTAAACAAAATAATACCGGTGCAGCAGCGGGATGTGTACATTTCAAGTAGGAGAGAAATACAGTCTTCAAGGCAAGATTTGCTGCAGCGCCATGCACTCCTTTGAGAAAGCTTAGGGGATCCAAGCTAAGTAGAACAGGTAGAATACGTCCACAATATGCAGGACGTTTCCTTGCAACTGATGAAAGACTGTATAAGAAGAAACATAATCAAAATGAAGAGGGAGTCATGAACCAAAAGACAAGTTTACATGACATCCTGAATCCCATCCACAAAATCATGATGAAAATATCCAGCAGATTACCAAAGACAGTTTCCCCATAAAATATTAGTAACTGTGTGAGAGGACCAAAAAATCTTTCTACATTTACCCCGTTCTAATCACAGGAACTTCATCCTAGATTGGATGCTCTTCAGTCAAAAGTCAAATCAGATTATATAGATTTTGAAATTATATAGATTTTCGAGACAAAAAATGAGCCAAAAATAAAGTAATAGAAAGAAACATATAAAGCTGAATTTTCATGAAGTCATAGATGATAGGTACAACTGACTGAAAAATACCAAATTAAACTGCGTTTATTGATGCACTTAAAACACAACTCACCTATTAATGAGAACAACAATCGTTGAGCTATTTAGAGATTTAGCTGCCGGGTGCCTAAGCTGATCAAGCAGTAAACCCAATTTCTGGCTGGCCTCAATCGACAAGTCTCCAATATTTAAAACAGGATGTCCCCCACGAAGGATAGTTATATTAAAATCTGCTTCACTTCCTTCAGGACAGGTAACTAGATTTATAAGCAACTAGTCTTTATAAGATATTAATGAAACAACAAATTTATAATTTTAAGTAATTGAGCGGATAGATCCATAAAAGTTTACCTTCATGAGGTGTATACAAAAGAATAAGTCCTTCCACAAATTTCATAGCGCATAATTTAACACCACTGTTTCCTTGCTAATATACAAGTCACAAGAAAAAATACAATCAGAAAAGAAAGACAACCCATCGAAGAATCAGAGAAAGCATTAATTCCCACCTTGAAAGCCACTGAGCATATTTCATCCTTAACCTTAATCATCCATGTCCACGAAGATTCAAGAAGATCATTCAACTCACTAGAATGCAAACCCTGGAGGCCAAATAGAAAAAAGCATGTCAAATAAAACGGGATTTACATACCAAATGCAGAACGAACAGGTCACATATACAGAACCTTGAAAAACAAATACAAGAAAGCAACCTGAACTGCCACTTTTTCGAGGGTGGAACGGAATAAGTCAGCTCCACAAGAAATGACCTGCCTGGCCACAGCTGGAGTCTCGTCTTCTAGAGACTTAATTAAAATGGGCACTATTTCAGGTAATAATTCTACATATTTCAATCCAATTTCACCAAGTATCCTGCAATTGAAATAGCATCAGAGGTTCAGCAAGTTATGTAAGTTCCCTAGTTTAAGAGAGGAACACGTCGTTGATTATACTAGTCGCAAAGGCATCTTTCGGGAAGCTAATGAGAGTAAGACAGACACTAAAACGACCAGTTATAATCACTCCCTGGAGTGAGATGTTGTTAACAGCAAGTAAATATACTAAGGCAAGAAACTATGCGTCATCAATGTGGCCATGTATTTGATTATAGGCAGCGACTGCGATTACCAAAAGAAAAAAGAAAAAAAAAAAGACGATTCACAAAGGCCAAGAAGAATCAACAATATCATCATCCGAGATATATAAATTCTGAAAATCATTTATATCTGTGAAATTTACAAACAAATCCGAAATATATCAGAAACTTTAGCACTGTAATCAACAGAACAAAGACTAAAACTAATCAGGGGAAAAGGGTTGCAAACTACGATAACGGAGCTTACTCGGCGACAAACTTGCGAACAGCGCCAAATTGATCGGAGAGAAGATCGAAAAGGTGAGGAAGCAGCTCGGTGGGAAAAACGGGTTCGTCTCTTTGCAAATCCCGGCGCAGATTGCGCAAGCGTTGCAGCTTCGGAGGCAATTCCGTGGCTGATTTGGCGGAACTCGCGAGACCTTCAAGCCTTTCTCTTGAATACGAAGCCATGATTCCAACCATCCCCGGTTTCAAACACTCGATATTATACACTAGTGCCCAGAGCTTCGATGGATACGCATGTCTCTTCTTCTTCTTCTATAGCATAGGGTTTAGAGACAAGGACGCTGGAGATTCGTTTTATTTCTGATATACGAACAATTGAACTGATTTCCGTTTCTGAGGTCTTTCCTGAAAGAGACTGACGAATAGTCATACGGCGTCGTTTGGATAAAAATAAGAAATTGTGCTAATGTCCTCATAATTGGTAGTATAGATAAGTCACCGATAGTTATTATATTGATTTTAAAAAACCTAATAGGAGAATAATAAGAATGGGCCGATGTGGGCCTATTTCGCTTGATATTTACATGACGAACGTGGCCTTATCGGAGTCATCTTTTTCTTTTTCTTTACGGACAAAAGCACAAAATGTAAGTGGCGTCATGGCGTGCATCTAATTGCAAAATGACATCAAAGGTTGAAAAGCACTTTGGAGACTGGACCCGGTTTATTCAGTTGTACTACCATATAAAGCCAAAAAAAGAACTCAGTGGCTAAGTGAAGAGATATATCATGGTGTTTTGTAGTAAATCTTTTAAGAACTCAGTCTTCTGTATAGTGCTCCATAGATTCCGATATCCCATAGTTTAGAAGAGTCCAATGGACGACTCTCTCTCTACTTTAGTAACCACTTTAACATAACATTTCACAAAAACCAATTCAGAATGCAAACTTAGCTGCAACGAACCCAGAAATCATAATGTACACAGATCATGAAGCCGATGATTCTTTACTCTTAACAAGTAACAACATATTATTTTCCTCTGATAGAGTCTATAGCTATGACTCAGACTACACATTGATATAAGAACTGAAAGCTAACAGTTGTAGAGCTCAGTACTAATGTATGAGCAGGAGGATCTCATTACCAAATCAATGAAGCTCCATCCTTTGTTATCAACATGATACTAAATAGAATGTCTGAAATCTAATACCATCTACACCTAAATAAACAACATCATCAATGGATCCAAGAATATATCATTTCCAAAAATGAACTGATCAAGAGAGTAGTAAATTATTATAACAGACAAACTTGTTCTTGCAAATGGATTACGAGATTACAATAACAAAACGCTATCAAAGATAAAAGGAAACACAAAGGATACAAACTACCAACAGTATCATCTTCTTCTTTTCAAAGAGAGTACTGCAAAATGGCCTCGGAAACATTCTGAAACCATTTCGTCTGAATTTTTACCTTTGTTTTTGTTTTTGTGTGGTTCTTGAATCACTCGGAGCGATTAGCGAACCTCTCAACCTTCTCATCGTTGAGATTGATCCCAACCATAGCTTCTCCAAGGCCACAACTGACCTCCACAAGCATCTCAGGGTCACTGTAATGAGTCACGGCCTGAACAATTGCACGTGCACGACGCGCTGGGTCACCGCTCTTGAAGATTCCAGAACCAACAAAGACGCCGTCGCATCCGAGCTGCATCATGAGAGCAGCATCAGCCGGGGTAGCGACACCACCGGCGGCGAATTGAACAACGGGAAGACGGCCAAGCTGTTTGGTCTGCATCACGAGATCGTAAGGAGCGGCTAATTTCTTAGCGAAGGTGAAAACCTCATCGTCATCCATGTTCCGCAAAACCCTAATGTCGCCCATAACAGACCTCACATGCCTCACGGCTTCAATAATGTTGCCGGTGCCAGCTTCACCTTTGGTCCTGATCATGGCGGCACCTTCGCGGATCCTCCTCAAAGCCTCGCCGAGATTCCTACAACCGCAAACAAAAGGGATCCGGAAATTATGCTTGTTGATGTGATGATCTTCATCGGCGAGAGTCAAAACCTCGCTCTCGTCGATGTAATCGATTCCGATAGCTTCAAGGATCTGAGCCTCAACGAAATGACCAATCCTAGCCTTGGCCATCACGGGAATCGTAACGGCCTGCTTGATATCTTTAATCATCTGAGGATCGCTCATCCGAGCAACGCCTCCTTGAGCGCGAATGTCAGCGGGAACGCGCTCCAAAGCCATGACGGCGCAAGCACCAGCCTCCTCGGCGATACGAGCTTGCTCGGCGTTGACGACATCCATGATAACACCACCACGGAGCATCTGAGCCAAACCGACCTTCACGGAGAAGGGAGATTTCTTGGCCTCCGTTATAGCACCGTTACCGTACACCGCAACAACGCCGGTTCCTTCCATTATCGGAGGAGATTGAACTTTTTTTGTGTGGAGAGGAAAATTGGAAGAAGAAAGATTTGTGATTGGTGAAGCGATTTCTGGCCGGTCCTCGTCTATCTATTAGATCGGCTTTATAGTGTGAGAGATGAGAGAGTTTGTGGCGGTGTTAATTAAAGGACTGCCTTAAACAAAACAAAATATATATATATATTTAAATATTTATTTATATTTAATACTAATCCTATTTTTTCATTGGGATTTGTGGGATTGGATGATCGGACGGTCTTCAATAAAAACACACGATTTAAATTATCGGGTTAACACACAAGTTTAGTGGACTGCATTCATGGTTTTAGCAAAACTAAAAATTAGAGATTGAGAGTCGTCTCAAACTGGATTTTCATCAATGCAGTAAATGCATTTTTAAATTAGCGACTATGTAATGTGCGGACTAATAACAAAACGTTTTCACAATTAGTGTTAATTATTTTTATAACGGAGGATTTTTTTGTTTTTTTTTTCTGGTTATAGAAAAAAATCTTCTGACACAAAGAAATGTAACTGGACCTCATAGAATACACGACTGTCGCTCTAGTCCGCATTAATTGTTTCCATTAAAAGACAGAGAGAAAAATGAAAAAAATAAAGTTGTCAGAAAATGAAATTGCACGCTTTTAAAATGGTTGATTATGGAAAGCATCTTTTTCTTCATAAAGACAAAATCTTTTTATTTTCTTTGAACCAATCAAATCCATAGCCCAATCATTTTGTATAATGCGGTATTACTATACATTTGGGAGTACCAAAAATATTCATTTTATGCAATTATTGTACGTTTAAGTTTTATAACTAAAGTTGTTTTATCCCTAAAGAAAAAAAAAAAAAATTGTTGAAATGGGGAAAAAAATATCTTTAGAAAAATACAGTAGAAGTTTGGGATGATGATAGGCGGCTGTGGGTTGAAAAGGAAGGCCCGCCTCTCGTTTGCAATCAGTAGATTTTTCCACTCAGTTGGTCGATCCAGGGCGGCCCAACACTTCCAACTTGGTCTTTTTGACTTGTTATGTATAACTATAACTTTCAGATACAGTCCAAAACTTTATTCAAATATTTGGCAGTTCCTTGAATTAGTGATAACCTTTTTTTTTTGTTAAATTGGATGATCGGTAAATATTAAGTTCATTATCAAATTGTTGTAGTTTTTGTAAATCAAGGATAACATTCTCAGTGGAGGTTAAGTACCAAAACCGGTTTGTTGTGCAATTCGTGCCTATAATTCCAAGTCTTTGTAGGCAACGCTAACTTGAGATTCGTGTAGAAACACAACCATATGTGATGATAACCATATTTATTATCCGTATAAAGAAATCGTTACTTGTGGAAAAATAATAAACGAATTGAGTAATATATATATACAAAGCAAACAAAACTGGTCTTAGGAGCAATCAACGCACACAACCAACCCATTCTCGTTACATATCAAACACTGAATCTTTGATCCATCGCCGGTGATAATCCGGCGGCTACCTCTGCATCCATCACACATCAGAAACCTAAACCCATCGCATCGCCGGCATTGTTCATCTCCGGCGATTGGAACGCCCTCAAACAGAACCTTAAACTTACCTTGCTCGTGCAGACCCAGTACTCTCTGAGCTCCTCCGATGCACCTTCCTTTAACGAACAGAACCGGAGGCAAAACCTCTGTTTCATCCACCGCTGAGATTCGTCGGAGCTCTTCCCTGTACTCTCTATGCATCGACACATCTCTCTCGTAGTACTTAACCTTAAAGCTATCCAGCAGAAATCGGATCATGTTGCAGTCGTCGAACGTTTTTCTAATTCCCCGGAGAGTCGTCGTGTAGAAAACGACGGATCCCTCTCCTCCTGGAGGACACCGTTCCTCGAATTCCAGTAACGGGTCGATAAGGACATCTTCATTGTCGCCTTCTCCGATGACTTCTTCCACGGTGGCGTCCTTACCATTGTCGACGACATTTTCTTCTTCCCGTCTATCATCGTCTTGTTCGTCGACACCAATCACCAGAGGAAGGGTATTCTCGTCTTTTTCGATTTCCTCTTCTTCGGGAAAGACGATATAGTTTTCCTCATCATCGACTCTGGGGAAATGGTTTATCTTCCTACAGCATACCGCTGCTAATTCAAATGCTTCTAACAGCTTCGGATCGAAAAGTGTGCTCGAATCCAAATCAGGTCTTCTAAATCCAGATCCAATACCTTTATCAGATCCGTGAGCAACTGCCGATTTATTCTCTTTCCGATCATACGGAACTCTCGGAATCTGATTCACCGGAGGCCGGACGTTCTCCTGGTCGCCGAAGACACATCTGGAAACTTCTTCTCCTCCTCCTTCTTTCTCGTTTCCCACAAGTTCCTCCTTTACAACTGCAATTTGATCCGCAGGCTTTTGAGGGGTTCTCCAGATAGAACCGGCGGCTGTTATCTGAGGAATGGGGTTAGATATCTTTGGAAGGAACTCAGAGATCCCATCTGCAGCAGAAAGCACCTGGAGAATCCGATCCTGATTCAGATATTCGCCGGCTCTAATCGATTTCAACTTCTTTGCAAACTTCATTCTCGATGACTTCATTTCCCTCCAGTGTTGTACTTTACCGGAGATCTGTATCTATCAGATCAAAATCGAGAAATGTTAGTTGGGAATAGGAAGATAAATTAGGGTAAAAGAAAAAGAAAGTCGATGAGAATGACGATGATGATTCAATTTCAACCCCAACGGCTAGAAAAAGACGGTAGCTTCTCTTTTTTTTTCGGGGGAAAACAAATGAGAGAGTGCTCTGGTACGCTTACGTGCACTGAGGATTAGTACATCAACCACTAAGCAAGCGCCACGTGTGCAGACGATTTTTACTCACGATCAATGCAACGGTCGCTTAAAAAAGGCTAAAAACTCACAAGTCGCTACAGCCAAGAGAGAGTAAGAGGGACTCGAAAATCAGAGTCGTAGACATAGTTTTTAACTAGGATCAATTTTACACATTAAACAGGATCCGCGATAACAAATTTATATGTATGCAAAAACCGACTACGTATTTGCCAAAATCAAATTTGGCCAAAAGATTTGTCAAAGTAAAAAAACAATTACCAAAACACAAACCCATCAAGAGCATTAAAGTCACTGAGTTTTCCCTTAAGTACATAGACACACAGCTTCAAATTGTACGTTCTGCTCCATCCTATTTTCTTTCTCCTATGATTTTAGTTTTCTACCGGAGTCAAACAACCACACCAACTTCTTCCTCCAAAAACTTTAATCGCCTGTTCAGCTGCATCTAGCTCAGTGAATTGTCTCTCTGCTTGGACTGTGGAGACTAGACCGGCACACGCTTGCCTCGGTACTTGTCAAAGAACTACACATTACATAAACAACGAGTCAATCAATCTCATTAGACAACAATTGGCAGAATACGCAACAGAGTTAATATTTAAGTTAAGGCAAACTGAGAAAACACTAGGCCTAGAAACTCAAGATCACTGACACAATGAGAGAATTATCTAATGTAATTTGGATAGGGCAAACTGGGAATAACATGAGTTCTGTTTCTGTATATGCATCGGAGTTATGCATCTCTCTCACGAGGTTTGAGCCGTTCACATGGTTTAGTTGTTATTGATAACATTGAGTAACAGCAAGTGGTGTTGGAGTTCTGTGAGTCACAATTGAAATTTTTTTCTTTTCCAGTGAATTTTGCATATGACACATACCGATCTAATATATGGTTGCTGAATGATCCAACCCAGAACGGGTATCTTCTGAGCAAAAACTGCCAAGGTTGGCCAGAAGCCGCTGAAATAGAAAACGCTTTTAATATCTGTTTACATTTCCACAAGTGATATCAGTAAGGAAGAAAAATAGCAAAAGGACCTGAATAGTACGAAAAAACCATAGGTCTCCAACATCATTCCCAGGATCGGCCACCCAATGACAACAAAGAAGAAACCGACGCCAAAAGAAATAGTTCCCTGAACATGTAAAGTCAAATGAACATGCGTATAAGGAGAAATATGTAAAGATATGTCTGAGACTGATCCAGAGATATTGACAAGATCCAGAAAGATGGCAAGCAACTAGACCTTATAGTTTTGACGCTTCATGAAAAACTGCATGGTAGACTTGAAGCCAATGGTTAGACTAACCCCCGAGATGAAAAGAATCTGAGAAAATAGGAAAAGAAACAAGCTCTCACTCTGGTTTTGTACTTTGCAAGAATAGCGGTCAAAACATAGAAAACAAAGATGTCTGAGGTACTTACGTTTCCCATGGCAAGTAATCCCTTATCAAAGACAAAGACTACTCCCAAGAACGAGAAAAATACTCCAAATCCTGTCAGCCCTAAACCGATTTCTGTTTCAAATCACATAAAGTATAACCAAGTTCAGTATAAATAGCTTTGTACCCTGATGGTAATATACTGAAAATAAATGGATTCCCCAACAATAACATGACATCTGATGATAAGTATAACTGAGTAACATGTATCTATTCCAATAGCACGAATAATTAAGTGTAATTAAGTAACAAGCATCCCTTACATACTTTTTCGGTCATTCATTTCGAAGGACATCATGGTTCCCGGATTCAGCTGCTTCTACTTTTCGCTGTCATAGGCAAGAAATTGTTGAAATTCAGGAATTAGACGATTAAAAGTACAGACACTAGTGTTAACAAATCAATGTTTGGAGACATTCTATGGATTTGATGTCAGCTAGAGATACTACTTACGGAGTCAAACGTATAACCCTAAGTTGTTCAATCGAAAACAAATAGACTGCCCACAGAGCGAGAAGAGCGATTCAACGATACTATAACCAATCTAATCATACAAATTGCAGAAATTGAAGAGAGGCAAGTGAAAACGAGGATCATATAACAAAGGGAATCAAACCGAAACCGCTACGGTGCAGGGTAACTTACAGATCTAGATTTAGGGGAGGAAGAAGGTGTAGAAAACCTAGAACACAGACTCTAGCAAAAATTATCAAACACATCAGGCGAATTCTATAGTCGGAATCAGCAGATCAGTGCAACGACCATTAGCAGGAGATCGTGATGATGAAGAACAAAAATACAACGATGCGGAGCGAGAAGAGAGAAACGAACCTGCTCGCAGAAGAGCTGGAGACAAATGGCCGGAGGGAGGAACAGAAAGCAGAAGGCGATGCGAGAGAGAGCACGGTGGTGGAAGAAGAGAAGGGAGGTCGTGATTTGTTGCCAGAAATCAAAATTCAGTATCCCGTGAGGCCAGAGTGCGGAAGGAAAGATATAGTGCGCTTGGGAACAACGAAATTATGTGTCTTTACCATTCATCACTTGACACGTGTCACCCTTTTGCAAACCGTCTTTACAATAAAGGAAAATCCGAATGTATCAAGTATTTGTATTTTGTAATCAGAACTTAAGACTGTTAATAGGGCTCGGAAGACTCATATCATATGTAAACTGATTCAATGATCACTACTCGCTAATGCTTTCTTCCAACTCATCCTGAATCAAGAGTCTAGGTCGGGAGAGTACGTAGATGTCTCTCCAAGACACCAACTGTGGCTATGAACTCCCAGAGGATGGCACATGCACAAAGCCCCCATAATAAGATTGCGACTCCGCTAGCAGTCACTAAAGCAGTGACAAACCATTAGCGAGCCTTTCCAGTAATAGCAACAAATCCAAGGAAAGAGCAAAAGAGAAATAATCGAGTAGTGATGATGTTGAGTTGACAGTGCCCTTACAAAGGAAAGGTAGACATGCACATGCTCACATGCAAGAAGTAAAGATGAAGAAAAAGAAGGGGTTTGGGGTGATGTTGAAATTGGTTCCCGCAGAGGCAATCAAGACTAATAGAGAATATGGAAAATTACTATAAGATCGTGTTAGGCTCAAGTCTCCTTATCAGGTGGCATAAGTCGTGTTACACTCTGAAACGCAGATGCATAAGGTGATCTATGATATATAGGCAGCATCGAGTCTTATGAAGCGGCCTAGACGGACACTTCAACTGCAACGGTATGGATCATGACAATAGAAAATAACCTTCGCAGCGCATAACTGCGACAAAAATGGGTAATAGGATCAATTCTGATCGCTTTTTTATATTGAAAACAGTAATGAAATGGAGGTGCTTCAGCAAAGCGGCTGTATGCGGGCTTGTGAAATAATCTCCCCAATCTTGCGCTGTGCCTCCTTCCTGTCGAAACCCTAGCTGTTTATATTATAGTTAGTTATACACACCAATATTTCTTAACCTAATTTAAACCAAACGCTAAACTGAAGCCATCGAATCGGGAAAATAGAATTTTGGATGAACCGGGTTTAGTAAAATGGTTACAAGTACAACCAAGCCTAAAAAACTCCGGAATCCACATAATTTCATATACACATACATCATCATACACAGAAACAAGCACCTTCTGGCTTCTCTCCATCCCACACTTTTCTTTACATCTATACAACAGATTACGGTAATGCGAGGAAACAACAACAGCAAGCAACGTGCACTGTTGTGTCATAATTCATTCTCTTTGTTAGACATTGAAGATCTTCTTTACCTTCCTGATCTTCCTACGACATACAGGGCAAAATCCCGATGTTTCAGCTATCCTGCATATTACATCCATTTTTTTATCAATGTTCATTCTTGCGTCATAAATGACAACTAAATGACTGTAAGGAATGGGTTATTTATTACCGTGTCCCGCACTGGAAGCAAGCAACGCAGTGTCCACAAGAGAGGAAGAAACAGTCTCTAGGCGCATCATAGCATATTGCACAGAGATATCTTGTACTACTGTGGCCTTCACCATGTGCGCCTTCCAATTCTTCCGTACTTGTCAAAATTGAACTGTAGGACGAGCACCAGCTCGAGTTATCATCGTCTTTGCCCGGTATTAGAGGAGCCACATCATCATTTTCATCAACGATTTCATCTTCAGAGACTGCTTGTCGTTTATTGAAGAGACTCGAGACGATTAACAAGAGTGCTGTCACTACACCTGGAACAATAATCCCAGGAGATAAGCAAAAGTTTTGGATAAAGTCTTCACGAATCATTTGGTTAATATGACTCTCAAGCTATAATAAAAAGAACCTTACCCATGCAAACCATGTATGCAATCCACCTTGGTTCATATGAGAGTTTGGCGCAGAACTCATTCTTCGAATTGTTCTGAACAACAAGAAGAGAATTGAATTCAGACTGGTTCATAAGATTTCTTTTGGAATATACATAAATGAACTATTTTGTACCGCTCTATCAATCGTTTGTAAGGAAGAGTGAAATAGAAAGACAAGAATTGGGCTACATACCAGCTTTGGACCTGGTGATGTTAGTACAGCAGCATTAGTTCCAAATAATGGAACACTTAAAGTGCACTTGTCGTTTGGGAAACTACAATTGTAATAAGCATTTGTAGTATCATACAATATCCCCTCAACCTGAATGTCAATTGTCGCCTGGAAATAGATACTGTGTGAGAATGATGTATAATCAGACAAAAAGAAAGGTACGGGATTAGAAAGGGGCACAATACTGCAGTAAAACTAATTATTGAGGCTCTTGTTTCAGATACATACCCTAAAAATTTAACACTTAACATATATCATCATAAGTTGCTTCAGCTTTTACCTTCACTTCATTCAGGTATACATTGCCTACTGCAACGTAATATGTCGACGACTTAGTTATGTCCTGCTCGATGAAACCACTATCTGTCAAAAATAAAATAGGTAGAGTATGAGTGAGCTCATGAATATCATGCATTAAAACCTATCATGTTAAAGTCTTGTATGCTTACCAGAGATTATATGCCATGATAATGTGGTTTCCGGACGCGTAGGGTCTTGTACCCATTCAGAGAGCCCATCCACACCTTCCATTATGGATGCACAAAAAGCTTAATTACTAAACAACTATTCCTTATTGACAGCCAATAAACACCAGAATACAGCACAAAATCTCAACATCAAATCCGGGTAAGGAACAAACTACAGTGCCAATGCACCTAGGTAAGGATAAGAATGATTTCAGAGTAGAAGCCTTACTGGAAGTAGAACAAACATTATTAGATGACAAATATAGACATTATGTCCTACTTTAAATTTGTTTGATGCAGGAAATTCCTTGTGCGTTAGAGCATTAAATCTTCTACATCATATTATCATTATAGACAGAATAAAGCAATCAACCTGATCATTCAAGTACTGTTTGTCTTAGACTATTAGTGGATCCCAAAACATCACCAAACTTAAGATTTCGCCAATAAACAATTGTGAAGCTAATTCAAGTAACCACCAAAAAGAATACAACAGCATCTATCTAACTTGCTGAAGTAATTATCAAAGGAAAAGGATTCTTCTCTAGCATACCTTGGGCTATCACAAGGTAGAGGGAAGAACCCACAGATTCAACATTGTATGAAACTTTTACGCGTGACCCCTTGTTCAAATACTGTATCCAATACTGGAAAAGGAAAAAAATTTAGCAAAACAAGTGCCCGTTTCATAGCCATTTCTAGATAGCAGAGGTAAAGATCTCGGAGAGAGCTTACCTTGTACGAATCATTTGGCACGGCTAGATAGTGAACTTCGGACCATTTGGCCGGAACATCAAGCTGTGGGGATTGTTTCAATCCATACAGCATCAAGCCTGATCCCTTGTTCCCTAATTCTTCCACCTTGAGAAAATAGAGAAAGATAGAAACATGATATCAGAAATTTCGACAACGGTGGATCCTAATGCACGAGAGGAGAGAACATACAATCACATTTTGGACGAACACTGAAGTTGGCTTAATAAGGAAGGAAGAGTTTGGTCCCAACCATACGTTCGTGGTGCCGTAAAGCCCCAGAATCAAAGTCATCGACACTGAATGCAAATTCAATGACAAAACACAAGTATAAACAAAACATTCACACAACGGAAACAAAGCCAAGATTGGAAATTTCGATCTCACCGAAGAGACAGAAGGTAGCAACGACGACAACGCAAGACCAAGGGTCTTCGGAAGTCGAAGTGTTCCTCACGTTCTCAGATGCAACAATGCTCCCATGGCGGTAATCGTACTCGGAACGATTCCACGGCGGTCGATCATGATGGTCAAAACCAGTATCTTGGGCGTGTTCAAAGCGATGGTACCCGGTTTCTTCGCGGGTCACAGGCGGAGAAGAAGAAGAGGAAGGGAGAGAATCAGGAAGAGACATGTCGCGGATGGAATCGAATCGAAGAGAGGAATGAATGAAAGAAATCGAATAGAAGAGGAAGGTAAAACCCTAACCGCAGGTTTGGGGTTAATGTTGAGGAACGAACGATGCTGACAGAGATTTGAACGACGGGTCGGCTTCTTCTCTTTCTTCATCGTCACGTTGAACGGTGGATTCACAAAACTTTTGGAGAGAGAGAAGACTTTGGAAAAGGTAAAACATTTCCTCTTATTATTTTTTATTTTATCTCAGTACAGATTATCTTTAATTAATTAAATCGAAATTATATGGTCGAATCTCTTTTGGTTTGGAGTTAGGACAGGCTGGTCTCGTCCTTTTCAAATTACTGTAACACCCCATACTCATCTGTCACTACTGAAAGTATTCTCGTAAATATGACATATAAGTGAGGTCATATACGTAAATATCAGACTCGAGTTCACATATCCGGACGCGGTCTTCGTTTGTCTTTCCAACCTGGTTTTCAACATAAGGGAGAAAAAAAAAACCAGATCTAACGAAAAAAAAAAAAAAAATTCCCCAAATTCAATTTTCAAATTTCGAAGCCTCAAGAAACCCTAAATTTTGCAATCGAGTTGCTGCTTCTCTCAATCTAGCCTTGGGGTTAAGGACCTCGTACATTGTACGCGATGGGAGATTTCAATCTCGCTCTCGTGATTGTAGCGATCGTGGTTTGCGTCATTGTTTTCATCTCCAGCATCTACCTCCTCGTCAACTATCAGCATCCAGATGATGCGAACCAGGCTTATTTCCCCAAATTCGTTGTCGTTTTTGGTTTATCCATTGCTATGATCTCCATTCTCATGTTGCCGGCGGATGTGGCTAACCGGCATGCTTGTCGGCATTCGATTTACAACGGCGCCTGCAATCTCACCTTACCCATGAAGGACCTTTGGCTTGCCGTTTACATTATCGACGCTGTCCTTGTCTTCTTCATTATCCCCTTCGCTATGTTTTTCTATGAAGGCGACCAGGACAAGTTTGTTTCTCCACGAATTTTACTTTGTGAGTTTTTAATCTTTAGTTGTAAATTGACAATTATTGATGTTTTCTCGTTCGTGGGCTTGCGTTATACTACAGGACTCTTGGAAAGAGGATAAAAAGTGCTCTGATTTGGGTGGTTACTACAGCTGTTGTTTGTGCTCTGGTGCTTGGGATATTATACGGTTAGTTATTACAGTTTCTTTCGTAGATTTAAGCTTCATATCCTTCCCGGTTTGATGATAGTTCTAAGATTATGTTGGAGTGGTGATTGACCAATAGTGGGATTGTGAGAAGGATGATGATCTGATGTTTCTTCTTATTTACATACTGATGTGAGATCGTTAGCTGCTATTTTTTTTTAGTTATATTTATCTGATAATTTTCTTGCCCAGCTCCTCTTTAGATTCCGTCCTCACCTATGTGTTTGGCTTAATACATGAGCATAGTGTAGCTATACTTGTAGTCAATAAATTCCGTCTTAGTTGTTTAATCTTTTTATGAGGCTTTCAAGTTTGCTTTTGGATTGGTTATCTTTTTAAGTTCGGGTTTGTAATTTGCTTCTACAATGTATTATTTAGGAGTCATTGGGAAGGTGGACTTCTCTGTCAGGCACTTGTCTTCTGCCACAACGACTTTCCCTACTTCATGGCAGTTTTCAAATAATCAACCTTGCATTGGTAACACTGCTCGTCAGGTAATCCTTGAATCTTTACTGTATTCTTGGTATCAGTTTATCTCTCATTCGTCTCTCTGGAAGTATATTTCAATGTGTCTCATTAGTCTTTATTGAAGTATATTTCAATGTGTAACATATTTTTCGTGCTCCTTTGTTGAATCGATTGGCAGTGCTCAGCATATTCAGCTAATGCTGCATCTGAGAAGACATGGACCATGCGTACTACGTTTCCAGAATATGTTGTTGCTCTAGCTACAGTTGTTGGGTCAGTGCTCTTCACGGTATGTACATTCCTCTATTAGGTGTTTGTATTAGAAGTTGCACCTCATTGTCTTGGAAGGCATATAATCTTTCTTATATTAAGGCTTGGTTGTAGTCTCTTGTAGATAAAAGACTTTTGGTAGCTGTCAGTTTTTTTTGTATCCTCTAAAGATTCTGAGAAACTCTTTTATCTCAAATGTTTTAGATATTTGGTGGTGTTGGTATTGCTTGTCTACCCTTGGGACTTATCACTGCATTCATCAGGCGACCAAAGGCTGTTATCACTCGGTCACAGTATATAAAGGTACATTGTGCTGGTTATTGTTGTCCTCATGTGAAGCTTTTCTAAAGAATGTATGTATACTTCGGGTCTTTGACAGTCTTTTCCGGCCTGACAAGTCATCTAAATGTTTTCCAGGAAGCTACCGAACTAGGTAAAAAGGCAAGAGAACTAAAGAAAGCAGCTGATGCACTTCACCAGGAAGAACGAAGTGGTGCTAAAGGAAGGAAGTGGAGGAAAAATGTGAAAGCAGTTGAAAAGGTACACCATCATATCGATAGGTTTGGGGTCTTATTTCAAATCTGTTCCATGTCTACATACTTGGCCGATGTCTCTGTTGAAATTGGTTACTGATGTGTACAGGGGCTTTTGGCCGTAGGTGCAGTTATTTAGGTGATCTTTCCTAGTTAAAAGCTACCTAAATGTAGAAACCAGTTCTGCTATAGCGTCACTAATACTTGCAGCTTTATGCATACCTTCTTGTAGATTTGAATTCTTAACTGCTCCTAATTGGATTTCATTGCTTTTCATGTACCCTGCAGGAGTTGCTTCAATTGGAAGAAGATGTGAACCTCTTAGAAGAGATGTATCCGCAAGGAGAGAAGGTAAAGATGACTATATCTATCTCAGTAATTTATCTATCGAAAGAATTCTGTAATCCAACATTTCCCTTACCTTTTCATTTTCCAGGCAGAAACTGCTTGGGCCTTCACTGTCCTGGGATACTTGGCCAAGTTTATCCTTGGAATCTTAGGGTTTGTATTTTACATGATCTTCTAGTACTTTTACGGTTTCACTCTATAAGTCCTCGGTTAAGCTCTTATTAAATGAATCTTTTTTTTGCTTGTTGAAGATTAATTGTTTCTGTGGCTTGGATTGCACACATCATCATATATCTACTTGTTGACCCTCCCCTCTCTCCTTTTCTTAATGAAGTTTTCATCAAACTTGATGACGTCTGGGGTAACTTCATTTTATGTTCTTGTTATGCTAACTCTATATCATGTTTATTTTGTTTATGACCTGGCTCTCTGTTGAAGTGTTGATACATGTGACATTTTCTTCTTCTCTAGGTCTTCTGGGCACAGCTGCTTTTGCTTTCTTCTGTTTCTATCTCCTACTTGCGGTTATTGCTGGGGCAATGATGCTTGGTTTGAAACTGGTCTTCATTACTATTCATCCAATGAAGTAATTCATCTTGTGGTTTTGAAATGCTTTTTGCTGTTTCAGAGATCTTTCTGTTTTCTTTTGGTTTCTCAGAAGCCTAATTTACTTGTTTTAGATGGGGAGCCACTCTTATGAATTCTTTCCTCTTCAATGTCGGTCTCATTCTCCTATGTTCAATCAGGTAGGCTTCTTAGTTCTCATATTTCCCATCAGCTGATAGCATAAAAAGTATACAGTAACCTCAATTTTAACAATCGGCTATTGTGGCTCACTGAAATTCTAGTGTGATTCAATTCTGCGCCACTGCATTTGGATATTATGCTCAAGCCACCGCCGCTCAGGAAATATTTGGCCACACTTTGCAGTCTCTTCGTGGTATTAAGTACCTCTACAAGTAAGTTTATTGGGTTTTTGCATATAAAGATCTCACTCATGTACATAAGACAATAGATAATCAACCCTTTCTTATCGGTATCTTTCAGGTACAATGTGTTCCAGATCGGGTTTGTTGTCCTTGCTGGATTGACCTTTTTATATTACATTGCCTTTGTAAGTCTCTTATATCCTCTCAGTGTTCTGATCTTTCCATTATTTAATTTTCTGACAAAAATCATAAATCTTTAAACTCATGTTCTTGGTGGGTATTTTTTTGGCAGGGATGGAGAAGAAAAAAGCCGAGCGGTAGATTCCAGCTCTCTACCTAATGTAAATCTCGTCTTTTTATTTTATCCTTTTTGTTTCCTCGTCTTTGGGATTTGATTGCGTGCCGCTGAGGATTGCTCTGTCCACAACTATACCGAGATTGGTCTCATGATCTGTGCAAGTGGTCTTATATCATAAGAACAAGCACCTGCCCAAAAAGCTTCTCTTTCTTCTGATTCTCTTTGCTGGTGAGGTTTGGTTTCATGTCACTTGAATGTAATATTGTTCTTTTTTTCTCTCTATTTTTCCTTCTTTTCTTTTCTCATGTATCTATTGTTTTATTTTTGTTTGATTAATTACGAGAAAGATCTCTGTGTCGCCGTCTTCTCATGGTCTGTTGTACTGCTTGGAATACTTTCTTGTAACCATTTACTTGGTTAAGAGTTTAGATTGCAGAACGAATTCAGAATTTGGAGTTATCCGTATGTATAGTGAGTGATACCTGAGGAGCGAGGTGACGACAAGAGATTTCGTACCAATACCATTGCTATCTCAGATTTTCGCTAGGGCTTTGATTTGGTTTGGAGATGTCTTTTCGAATTGAAAAACCTACAGTACTTTTGTATGTGCGGTTAGATAGACAAATTCAATTAAGTTCAAAGTTTGGTCTTATGAAAAAAAAAACGAAAGCTAAAAGATAACATCCGAATCCATGAATTGCAGTTGTGTTGATGGGCCTCAACTTTGTACTCTTTTAGATTACCCATAATGGGCTTTCAGTAAGATATAGTCAACCAGAAAGAAAGAAAAATACTGGACTTTATTTAGCACCGTTTGGTATGTCTTTGTTATTGATATTACTAAATAGGAAATTTCCGAACACTCTAGGTTGGCCAGAGGTTTCATACACGGGGACACTTTTCATAAGTCGTTCGAGCAAATCAACCAGTCTTGCTACTTGCTAGCAAACAACAGCTCTCAACAAGTGACATGGACATAGCTCTCTTCTCGCCGGCGTCCCTCTTCGCCGCCGATGGTGATTCCTCTGGTCAGTGGATACCTCTCCTCTTTCTATTTCTGCTTTCATCGGAGGGAGAGTATCATATATAGCGACAGTAAGCGGTAATTTGTTCTCAGATGGAGAGACGACGGAGACGAGCCAGAGCTTCGTTGAGAGGAATCACCAGTTTCCTGGAATTGTAAAAAAAAATCAATCCCAATTTTATCTGCTATTGATTCCTTATTTTAGTTTTATGTTCTCTTATCAAGTGTGAAACTTGACATCTGATTTCAGGGATTTTTAGTTTAATATACTAGTTAGGTTAATTTGGGGGTTTAACTGAGGAATCATGTAACTCTTGTAAAATAGTTTAATAAATTTTCTTACTGAGGTTTTTTAAGTTTAGCTTTAGTATTAGTATTACAGACAAGTTGTGAAACTACTAGAGAGTACAACAATTCTGTCGGTGAATGTGATTATTTGTTTTTTGAAAATTGAGTAGGAATTGCAGATCCGGGAATTTGGTTTCCACCAGCTGAATGCAAACTTGCTGTGGCCAGGTACATTTGCCTTTGCAGATTGGTTAGTGCAGCATCGACACTTGCTCGAAAGGCGTCGCTGTCTTGAGATAGGAAGGTGCTTCCTTGTCTTTTGTGTATTCTTCATGTTTTACCCTGTTTATCGTGTTCTTAATTTGGATCCCAACTATGATTGTCTTATGTCTTAGTCACAACTGCTTATATGCCAGTGTCAGTCCACTGATGAGTTTTTTGTACTAATCAAACTGGCAGTGGCACAGGGGCGCTAGCTATTTTTCTTAAGAAAGAGTTCAATCTCGACATAACTACTTCAGATTACAATGACCAAGATATTGAAGACAATATTGTTCATAATTGTATTGCAAACGAGATTATCCCTGCTCTGCCTCATATCAAGCGTGAGTTTCCTTATCACTCACAATGTACCACATTCTTTTCTAGGGGCGTTGTATCGACTTGATCATTTTTGCTTTTTTTACATTCTTGTCTATTATGACAGATACATGGGGCGATGAATTTCCAATTGCGGAACCAGATTGGGATTTGATCATAGCCAGTGATATACTTCTGTGTAAATACCCCTTTCCCATTCTGTTTTATCGGAAAACTATACATATACATTTTTACATTCGGTTTTTTGCAGATGTGAAACAGTACCCAAACTTGATAAAGTCTCTGACTTTTCTTCTCAAAACATACAAACCAACCAAGGCCATTTGTTCAACAGAATGCAAGCTAAATGGTCGGCATTCCTTTCTTTATTTCATCACCTCTCACACACTCCAAAAGAAGTCTTTAACATTAGTCTTTTTTACCAGTAGGAGCAGACACAGAACTGCCTCGTCCAGTGTTCTTAATGAGCTGGAGACGAAGAATTGGGAAAGACGATGAGTCTCTATTCTTTACTGGTTGCGAAGAAGCTGGCCTCCAGGTGAATCATCTTGGAAACCGAGTATATTGCATCAAGCTTGGAGAAAACAACCTCTGAATAATAGGTTGACAAACTCATGAATTTTCCGCAGAACTGTCTTCTCTTAAGCTATAGTTTTGTTTGTTTCTCTCGCATCTTATTTGGATTTGCTTTTTATGTGAAAGTTAAGGTAAAATGAGATACCCTTACATGGATGCCAAATCAGTCTGATGTTGGCGTGGTTTGCTTAAGATCAGTCAAATTTGGTGGGTAGATTAAAAAAGTAAGCGGTGTTTCGTTGCATTATAATAGAGAACATAAGAGGAAGAATTAGTTACCAGTTAGTTAAGAATAGAACATTTTTGTATCCCTTAGTACTAGCTTTTCATTCAGAGGAGGCGTTAAGAGAAGAACTATTAGAACTTTAGACAAAACACACGTTAAGCATCGCATTCTTGCTTTGCTATGAGGAAGATTGAAATAAACATAAATTGTGATACTTGGCGTGATGCCAGTTTGAAATGAAATGAACAAAAAATCATTAGCCAGTATATATAGTGACTACAGATTTCGCCAACTGTTCACCCAAAAAAAAAAGCCTTAAATCTGTAACCCATGAAAAATCCTCTTGGCCAAGCTCCTTCACGTCGTCTCCTGTGCCCAAGAGAACGAGTTGAAAAAGATAAAGATGGCAAGGTGACAACAATTAGTGGGCAAATCCATCACATAATCAACAGCTCCTATATCATTTCTGATGCTGAGGACGAAAGGTCCAATCATCTTCACTCCTTGCTTCTCTGCAACCAAAAAGAAGGTGGAGAGGACAACATATTACATTGTTGGGTTTGTCGGGTAAGGATAAAAGATAATACCTATTACTTCTGCAGCTATTGCAAGGATGACTACCACGATGAATGTGTTAGGTCTCCTTCCGTGTTCCATTGCTCTGATCATCCAAAACATCCTCTTCAACTTCTCTGGTTTCCCGGAAGTCTCCAAGAACATCAAAGAAAATGTTGTTCTTGTATAAGTGCCCGTGGCAATATGTTTTACTATTGCTCTATATGCGATTTTATGATCCATCATGCATGTGCGAGAAACCCAACACCGCTTACCATAGACAATCCAAAAAGACATAAGCATACCCTCCATTACTTTCCAAGGAAATCCGGTCTGGTTTGCGATGTGTGTGCGTTGGTGGATGATTCCAGTTACTTATACATATGTCTCCCATGTGATTTCGCTGTCCACAAACGCTGTGTCCACTTACCATACGTCATAAAGGTATCTCGTCACGGCCATCGTCTCACTTTTACTCCTAAACTTATTTTCAAAGAGCTGACCAAGACTGATTGCGGAGTATGTCATGCAAAGATAAACGAGAATTATGGAGCATACCGTTGCAAGGTGGGATGCGTTTATACAGTGCATTCCAGATGTGCGATGCAAAGTGATGTGTGTGACGGGGTAGAACTTGAAGGGGAGCCTGAAGAAACATATGAAAATATTAATACTAAAATGTTTGAGCTGATACGGGGTGGGATTATGCAACATTTGACTCATCCGGGTCATGAGTTAAGAATTGAACAAAAATTCCACGATGAAAGCAAGCATTGTCAAGCGTGCAGGCTTACTACTTATGATGAGTGTGATGTGTATCGGTGTTTGCAATGTGAGGATTTCATTTTACATAAATCATGTGCATATATGCCCCGTATTAAACAATTTATGCTCCATGTTCATCCATTGTTTCTAGAACACATGTATACCACAGATTGGTTCCGATGTAGGAAATGTCATCGTTACTCATGCGGTTTTGCATATGCATGTGGTCGTCGAGGGTGGTGTCACAGTCACTTTTCTTGGATTTTAGACACACTTTGTGCTTCTATATGTGAGCCGTTTAATCATCACTCTCATCCACATCCCTTGTTCATTACCTGTGGTGAAGACGAGAGCAAAATATGTTCCATCTGTCAATCAGCTGAGCGACAACCTTTAAATTGTGTGAAATGCGATTTTGTTCTGTGCTTTCATTGTGCCACTCTTCCACATAAAGCGAGGTATGCACATGATGAGCATTTGCTCATTTTTTCCTACGAAGAAGATGGAAATTATGAGTTTTACATGTGCGAAATATGCGAGGAAGATGTAAATCCGAAGAATGGGTTATATGCATGCAGTGAGTGTGAAGTCAGACTCCACATCGAATGTTTACTAGGGAAAGATCCATATATCACGCCTGGATCATATCTGGGTGGAATCACAAACGTTCTTCCCAACACTTGTTCAACTCGACCTATATGCAAAACATGCAAAAGACGTTGTCTTTACAAAATAAAGATTAAATCGTCTACCAGAGGCGGCCCATTTTGCTCTGTTGATTGCTATGAAAGATGGTAAAAGGTAGGTTGTTGCCATATCCGTCCGACGAAAATCTCTGGGAATTTTTAAAAGTTGGGTTGATCAAGCATGCTATCAGAATCATTTCATGCATGGTTTATTTTAATAAGGTTTATTTATTTATATATCTTTGTTCGTAATGAATAAATAGCGTTCCTGCATGTAACATCGTAACTAATGAAATGTTTGACTGTTTGCTGTCAAATTAATGCATGATAAAACGCACTTATCTATATATATAAAGTTAGATTTTTCTCTCTTCTCATGATGACACCTAAACATCCACTTAAGCCATATTTTTGTTTAAACATTAAAATAAATTTAAAACATTTATTTAGTGCATATTTATGTTACTTATTTAATTAATAAAAAGTTTATATAAATAAAAATAAATTATGTAAAAAATGAAATGTTAAAATAAGAAAAACAATACTTTAATTTTTTATCAGTGGTAATAATATAATTCAACTTTCATTTTAAATTGATCATAATTTAATATTTTAAATATGTTACTGAGTTTTAGAATGGAAGTAAAATTTAAATTTATGGTAGACTAAAACAACATTTAACATATAAAATTATAAAGAGGAAAAATAAAATGAAAGTGAAATATTAGTTTATAACATGATCAAAAAAAAAATGATATTTCATAAATTGAATCAAATGCTTTTAATACAAATTTGAGTATTGAAAGATAATAATTAAAGAGAAAATAATTATAATATTTTTTTGAAAATCAGTTAAAAAAATAATAAAATATCACAATATGAATAAAAAATCAACGAAACAAAAAAATAAACCTCCCGCGCGGAGCGCGGGTCAACTGCTAGTCTATATATATAAAGTTAGCTTTTTCTATCTTCTCATGATGCCACCTAAGCATCCATCTAAGCCACATTTTTTTACATTAAAATAAATTTAAAACATTCATTTAGTGCATATTTATGCTACTTATTTAATTAATAGAAAATTTATATAAATAAAAATAAATTATGTAAATAAATGAAATGTTAAATAAGAAATACTTTTATTTTTTATTAGTTAGTGGTATTAATATAATTCAACTTTCATTTTAAATTGATGATAGTTTAAAATTTTAAATGTGTTACTGAGTTTAAGAATGTAAGTAAATTTTAAATTTATGGTAGAATAAAAACAACATTTATGTAATTTTATATATAAAATTTTAAAGGGAAAAAATAAAATTGAAAGTGAAATATTAGTTTATAACATGATCAATAAGAAAATGCTTTTAATCCAAATTTAAATATTGAAAGATAATAATTCAAGAGAAAATAACTATAATATGTTTTGAAAATCAATTAAAAATAAATAAAATATCACAATATGAATAAAAAGTTAACAAAAAAATTATAAATCTCCTGCGCGCAGCGCGGGTCAACTGCTAGTTAGTTTATATATATACCTCGCTATGATACAGACATCAAAAGACATCAAATATATATAGTTTAAGAAATTTCGAGGAAGTTTCGCAAGATAAAGACATAAACTCATGTTTTTCTTTGTTTACATATAGAACGATGATGCGAAAATTTCGTGATACAACTAGACCATTCGATTAAGTCAACCCTAAATATACACAGTTTTAGAAGAAAAGAAAAAGAAAGAATGGGAAATTGGAAATAAAAGACAAAAGAATTGTTGGAAATAGGAAGTTTACAAAAGTCGTGAAAATCTCTAAACAGTGAAAAAAACATATGCGCAAGTAGACACAATAATAATTCCAAACAGTATATATACATAGTTGCAACTTGCAAGATCGAAGTCAATTTTTTTTTCTTTCAAATATTCTCATATAGTAGTAAGTTCTTACATGTATAGTAATAAAATGATATAGACATAAATGGTAGACGCATAAAACATTGACCCAAAAAAAAAAATGATATACAAAGACGTCAACAACAACAACAACAAAAGAAAAGGAAAAAACGATATAGAAAGAAACGTTCGATTACACGCGTTCCGTTTTATATAAATATAAAAATACATCACTTAATCACTTTACACACACAACCAAAAAAAAAGAAATCCAGATTTCAAAAAATAGATTCATAGGGACAAGAACAAAAAAGGTGGTTTTGTTTTGTGTGTTTTGACCAGAGAGGGTCAACGAATAAAAATGTCTTGGATCAGTGCGGCGGAATCGTCTCCGAATGTGTCTCTGTTAGAGAATGGCGGCGGCGGAGGAGGAAGTGAAAAAGCGACGACGGGTGGGGAGACTTCGAGGCGTGTGCGGAGAACGGAGTCTGCGTCGTCGATGATAAGGAAGAGATCGGATCTGAAGCTCATCTCCAGAGTTCCTTGGGAGTTTCTGAGACGAATCTTGACGAATCTTCAAGAAGTTCTCCTCGGCACCAAACTCTTCATTCTTTTCCCGGCCGTTCCTCTCGCCGTCGTCGCTCACCGTTATGGTTGTCCACGTGTACGTTTTTTCAACTTTTACCTACAAAACCCCAAAAGAAAACACTATTTGCAAGCCTGTCGCAACCATAACCAAACATTTTTTTAGCTTTACACGTACTAATTTCAAGATCATTTACCAAAATAAAAAATAAAAACAGGCGTGGGTTTTTGCGTTGAGCTTGCTGGGATTGATTCCTTTGGCCGAACGTATCAGTTTCCTCACAGAGTAATTATTTTTCTTTCTATAACAACGTTTTTTGTTTTGTTTTTCTGTGTATATAATATCAGTAATAACGTTACTAATTAATCCACAATTATAATTGGGTGGTGTGGTTTCTTCTTCAACAGGCAAATTGCTTTCCATACCGGTCCAACAGGTGAGATCATTTAAATTCCGTTTGACTAATTATTATTTCTTGCCATTTTTAACTGAACCGGGTTATGCACCACGAAACCGAATTTTCTTTTTTGGGTGGTTAAACCATAAATTTAGCTGTCTTTTAAAGTGGTTAAACCATAAATTTTGGTATCTTTTTGGGGTGGTTAAAACAATCTTGAGATTATTCTGGATTTTATAACATTATTATTATTGACAAGCAAACTAAATAAATGAAGGAATTTGGAATGTACAGTAATGTGAATTCTTTTTTTTTGCGTTTTCTCCCATTTAAATTGTATACTATCTGGGAAATAATATTAATTTTGAATAAAGTTGGGGGATTAATGAACGCGACTTGCGGGAACGCGACGGAGATGATAATAGCGATTCTAGCGGTAGGACAAAGGAAGATGAGAATAGTGAAACTCTCACTTCTTGGCTCTATTCTCTCCAATCTTCTCTTCGTCTTAGGCACTTCTCTCTTCCTTGGTGGTCTCTCCAATCTCCGCAAACACCAATCTTTCGACTCAGTACGTTCGCATAATCATCATCATCTCTTCAAACTTTAAAATCTAAATATTATTTGAAGATAGATATGATGAATCATCGTCTTAATTAATTACCATGTTTTGTAATATTGTCTACGAGAACAGAGACAGGGAGAAATGAACTGCATGTTGTTGTATCTGGCGCTCTTGTGTCAAACACTACCAATGATAATGAGATTCACAATGGAGTCTGAAGACGATGGATCAGCTGTTGTTGTCTTGTCGAGAGCAAGCAGCTTCGTTATGCTCTTCGCTTACTTGGCTTTCCTCATCTTTCACCTCTTCTCTTCTCATATCTCTCCTCCTCCTCCTCCTCTTCCTCAGGTTCTCTCTCTCTCCCTGTCTCTCACACACACACTCTCTCTCATACTATTCTCACAATATGAATCATCTTGCGCTGCTTCTTATAACATATCTGTGTGTCTGTTAACTACATATAAAAGAGGGAAGAAGAAGAGGACGTATATGACGATGACGTAAGGGACAAGGAAGAAGAAGAAGAAGCCGTAATTGGAATGTGGAGTGCGATTGGTTGGCTTATAATAATGACACTTGTCGTTGCTTTACTCTCCGAGTACCTTGTCTCCACTATCCAGGACGCAGCAGACTCTTGGGGGTTATCAGTGGGATTCATAGGAATAATATTGTTGCCGATCGTTGGTAATGCAGCTGAGCATGCTGGTGCTGTCATCTTCGCCTTCCGCAACAAGCTCGTATGTTAATTTTTACTTCGTTTTCCCCCTTATTTTATTACATCATAGTATTAGTTCACATTCATATCATTCTCTTTATCTCTTTATATAGTTTGATGTTGAACCAAACTGACAATGTACAGGATATAACTCTTGGAATTGCTCTCGGCTCTGCAACACAAATTGCTTTGTTCGTGGTAAGCTAATCGATTTCTTTTCTTTTCTTTTTTTTTAACTTCTTATAAATACTTCTCTTAGTTAGTTTACAAACTTGGCTCAATTGTCAAGTTTAGTGGTTATCTTAAATGGAGAATATTTCGTTTTACATGGTTTAGTTTGCTTTCAAGAATTTGATTTTAACGAACTCAATTTTTTTAAAAATGTAGGTACCAGTGACAGTGTTAGTCGCATGGACAATGGGAATAGAAATGGACCTTAACTTCAACCTCCTTGAGACCGCTTGTTTTGCCTTGTCCATTATCGTTACTTCCTTCATATTGCAGGTGCATTTTCATTTTTGTACTCAATTAAATATATTAGTTATACGTACGTTGAATCTTGCTTGAGGTTGTGTATAATAAATCTATGGTTTCGACTGACATATCATCATCATTATATCACTAATTAGGATGGGAGTTCGCACTATATGAAAGGCTTGGTTCTTCTCTTGTGTTATGTTGTCATTGCGGCCTGTTTCTTTGTCTCTAACTCACCCTCAAGTAAGATTTTCTTCATTTTTTACTCTTCTCTACGTATATATAAATCCTATGAAATTCATTTGCTTTTGTATTTCCTCAATTGCAGCCGAAACCAATACAACTAATCTTACAATGACGAAAAGGTAAGCTATATATGTTTAATTAATATCAAATAATTGATGCGATTTATTTCAATGCTAGACGAATAATATATAGTATGCAGTGCGACCTAATATGCTTAAGCTTTTAGAGATCGAAACTGTTACTAACAATGAGGGCACCATTTTGTTCTTCTTGCCCATCCATCACATACAAAATAGTAACACAAACAACAAATAATGTAACATATTATAGGATCTATTAAGGGCAAGTTATTAATAATTATTGTTAGTTTTAACTTTCACATAGCAATCATATGAAAATCTAAGAAAACCAACTTCTACAATGTTAAATTATTTTCTTAGATTCTCAGACCACTAAGTTTACATATTATGATATACGGTTCATATTTTTGCAGGTAACTCGACTACCGTTTTGTTTCTTTCTTTAGTGTATTGTTTTTTTTTGTTTTTACTACAGTATTTAGTTTTTGAATTATATATTCTGTAAGTAATTTTTTAAGGAATATTTGTTTTTTACATTATTTTTTATTAAATCAGAATTATTTTCGCTTGCATTGCCATATATCAATTATATCGTAGTAGAAGTCGTTATATGTTTAATTTATCCATAAAAGATAAAATTTATATATATAAAAGTAACGAGTTTTACTGCGATATAATCAAACAGAAAATTTGAATATTTTTAAGAAAAACTTACAAATCGTAAATAATTTTATCATGGAAAACATATATCAGAAGTTTCAAAAATATTTATAGCTATTTGTCATTTTCATAAAATCTAAAATTTAATTTCACAGACACAGGCCGTTACTTTGGCAGGAGTTTATATTTTCTAAATGATATATATATTCGAAGTCTCGGAAAAGGCCCAACTGAGCCCACTAATTTGACTAGAACTTTGTTTGGATCCCCTTAAACTACTAACTGTCTATTTACAGGAATGCCATCACCGGAGACAATTTATACAGTTTTGTTGCAAACTTGCAATAAATAACAAATTAAAATCTCATATTCTCTCAGGCGAGATTTAGGAACCCAAAAAATAAAGAAGAAAAAATTCCTAAATTTGATCCGCCATGGGAGAAGAAAAGTCTCTACTTCAATTCCGTAGTATTCCTTCACTTAGGACCTCTGATTTTGCTATCACCCAAGAACCTTCATGGAGGCTGGAGAACAACCTGTCGTCGAATCGCCGGATAGTGAACAAAAGAACCGGTGGCGTTTTTACCAATTTCGCCTCCCTATCTGTAGCTATGAAAGATCGGAAGGAGTCTATGTTAAACGGTGGAAATGGCGGCGGAGGCGGAGCTTTCGCGTCTGTTTCAGTGGTGATTCCGAAGGAGGAGGATGAGTTCGCGCCTACTTCGGCTCAGCTCTTGAAAAAACCGATCGCGTTACTGTCACTTGTACCGAAAGACGCCGCACTGTTCTTCGCCGGAGCGTTCGCCGGAGCCGCCGCAAAGTCAGTGACAGCACCGCTTGACCGAATAAAGCTCTTAATGCAAGTAAGAGCTCTCTCCTCTCGTTCTCAACAACTTTAAGGTTTTCCCGCACGTGTATTTTCTATTTCTTTTTTTCTCCGTTTTATAAATAAAAATAAAAATTGTTGTGACTGGTGGTGGACTTGGTGAGTGGTGAGGTGAGCACAGCAATACGCCGTCGTTTTAAACTCGTTGTGGGATTTTGTTGACTACCACATTGGTTTTTGCTAAGAGTAAACAATATGTGCGTGCGTGTGCTATGTTATGTTAAATAGATGGATATGGTATTGTGTTTCCTTTGCGATTGTATCTTTCCGTCCCATGGATGATTTGATAATGTTCTTTGATCTTGTTAATCTCACAACTCAAGAAGGTATACCTTGAGGAAATCTATGGATTATGTGTGGTTGTGTTCTTTGTTAACAGACTTGCAGTAATGTTAACTGATTCTTACAAAATCATATTATATAAATCTTGTTGATTTAGTTTATTGATTTATAGACACATGGTGTTCGAGCTGGGCAACAAAGTGCTAAGAAGGCTATTGGTTTCGTCGAGGTATACACTTAGTCATGTTATGTTAGGAGGCTTGTTTGTTCTTATTGTAGAATCTTGTTGATTTGGCTTTGGTTGGAATTATTACAGGCGATTACTCTTATCGGAAAAGAAGAAGGTCTTAAAGGTTATTGGAAAGGAAATCTACCTCAGGTACTAACAATTTCTTGAACCCTTTTGAAATAATAGGTGTGTAATTTAGTATAGTTTGAATGCACATAATCTTATAGTCTGTATGTTCCAGGTGATAAGGATCATACCTTATAGCGCGGTCCAGTTGTTTGCTTATGAAACATACAAGGTATATATTATCTTTCTATATCTGGTTTTGGTTGCATCTCAAAAGTTTTTAAAATATTATCTGTTTCTGAACATTTTTCCTTTGTTATGTGTTTTCAGAAACTTTTTAGGGGGAAAGACGGTCAATTGACTGTTCTTGGAAGGCTTGGTGCTGGAGCTTGTGCTGGCATGACGTCAACTCTGGTAACTAACGTTGTTTTTAGGCCTGATTGACTTTGTCTAATCTTAAAATGCCTTAGAATATATCTTCTTTATGCAGATTACATACCCTTTAGATGTGCTAAGATTGAGGTTAGCTGTGGAACCAGGTTATCGAACAATGTCCCAGGTATGATCATCGCACCATATACCAACTGTGTGTTCCACAAATTCATCAAGTTTAAAAGGGACATATCACATGTAGGTGGCCTTGAACATGCTGCGGGAGGAAGGAGTTGCATCGTTCTATAACGGTCTCGGTCCTTCACTTTTAAGTATAGCTCCTTACATTGCCATAAACTTCTGCGTCTTTGATCTGTAAGTCAACTAACAGTTTAACATTACCCCTGAGATTTACTAGATTGTTAACATTTTCGATATTATATCTATCTCCAGGGTAAAGAAATCTTTGCCAGAGAAGTATCAGCAAAAGACACAATCATCTTTGTTAACAGCAGTTGTCGCTGCTGCTATAGCTACCGGTACTTGCTATCCATTAGATACCATAAGAAGACAGATGCAATTGAAGGGTACTCCATATAAATCCGTATTAGACGCTTTCTCTGGTAGGAACAAAAACACGATTATATGCTTTTATTCTTCCCTTCCATGATGCAAGTTTCTGGTGACTTACCTATTTATCCTCTAACCGTTGTGCAGGTATCATTGAGCGTGAAGGAGTTATTGGCTTGTACCGTGGTTTCGTCCCCAATGCACTCAAAAGCATGCCAAACAGCAGGTAATTATAGATTTTGAATTAAAACCAGCTCTTCTTGTTTCGGCATTAATATTTTGGAATCCTCTTTCGTGTTGTTTCAGCATTAAGCTTACTACATTCGACATCGTCAAGAAACTCATTGCAGCGAGTGAGAAGGAGTTCCAAAGAATCGCGGATGATAACCGCAAGAAAGCAAGTCCTAACACAACAGATGAACAAACCTGAAGCTGATATTTTGGATTTCCAGAAGGTCATATTTTCCTGTAATCTTGTGTCTTTTTTAGTGTGTCTTTTGTATTTTTGAATGTAATAAGTTGTCGTTCCCCTCCTAATTCAAAATGTTCTTGATTTGAATCCCAGAGCTCAAAGAGTGTGTTACAGTTGTCGAGTAATAAATATCTGTTTGTGTCCGGTTTTGCTTAAGCGTCTAACTTATTTAAACCGGTTTTTAAATATGCTCGTTACTCCGTAAAAGACTGAAACGACAGCGTTTTCTCGCCCCCAATCGGGTCATCTATTTGGCGGTGGTTGCAGACGAGGAAGATGAGGAGATTAGCGGTTCAGAGAGAAGCTGTCGACGACGTATCTTTTTGGTGTGCTCCTCCACTCCGACGAAATCATAACCCAAAAGCTTAACTCCGAAATATTATTTCGTCATGTACTGCACTTTGCGATTTCCTTTGCCACTTCACATTCCCCGAACTCGAACAAAGGCGTCCTGTAAGCCGAAACGGCGCCGTGTGGAGCACTTTCGGTGCTCTGTTCAGCCTAGTCTTCGTGAAGATGACGAAGAGGCCGATGATAGCAGGTGAATGGATTGTTTTTTATTTAACTTCTTCTGTTTCGATTCCCGATAAAAGTAACTCCAATGAAATTTTTTTTTTTCTGCAAATGCTATTGTGATGTAATGATGGTAGCTCGGTTCTTAGTGTTGGAATTCAAGGACGTGTTTCAATTGTGGTGGAGAGATACGGAAATGGCACTTCGAAAAGGTCAGCTTCAGGCTTTTGATCTTATCTTGTTGCCGGAGGTATCATCTGCTAGAACTCTTTATCTGTTTAAACACATCACTTCTTGTTCTTCTGCAGATTTTTGCTAGATGATGATGATTCCCCTTTACAAGGCTTTCTCGAGGAGCTACAAACTAAGCCTGATGACAAGTCTCCCAGCTCAAATTCCTCAGAAACGAACACACTTTGGGTTCCAGATGTTGTTAAGGATTTTGTTTTTCCCACAGGCTTTCCTGGTACTTTTTAAGCTTTAAATCCATGTATGTTTCTGTCTCTTCCTTGTTTAGGATCTCAGATTGCTAAGCTTGTAGAGATTTTGTAGATCCTATTTATGGGTCAGTGTGTTCATCTCGTAAACCACATTGTGCAGGGTCTGTTTCAGATGATTACTTGGACTACATGCTCTGGCAGTTCCCTACAAATGTTACCGGGTGGATTTGTAATGTATTAGTCACTTCAAGTCTTCTCAAGGCATGTCCAGATATTTCTAGATTATTCCCTTCTCTTTCCTTGCTACAAAGTGCTCAAGGTTTTCTTATGCATGGAACTGTTCTAAAAATGGATGTTAAAAATGTTGCAAATTTAAAATTTTTATTATTTAACAATGCAGGCGGTTGGCGTTGGCTCTTTCTCAGGCACTTCTGCTGCCGCTACTGCTGCTGCTTCTGCTGCAGCCATCAGGTTTACTTCGAATGCAAACTTAGTTTGTTGCTGCTACAGAATTTTTGTTCTTATATTTTTTCAAATGATGTTTTGTCTCTTCAGATGGGTGTCCAAGGATGGAATTGGAGCTCTTGGTCGTCTTCTTATTGGTAGGGAAACCATGGGAAGATTAATAAATAATCATGGAGTTATCTAAGAATCTGTAAGAGTAAGAAGGTTATGTTTTCCAGGTGGGCGTTTTGGTAGCCTTTTTGATGATGATCCCAAGCAGTGGCGCATGTATGCAGATTTTATTGGCAGTGCTGGAAGGTTTGTTGTAGATGACCCAAATTCTTGGTGAGCCATATTTTGGTAAAAACTATGTATAGCATCAAATGGGGTTTTTGTTTTTCGTTATGGTATGCAGTTTCTTCGATCTGGCTACACAACTATATCCAACCCAGTTCCTATTGCTGGCATCCACAGGAAATCTTGCCAAGGTATTCCTTATTGCAGTTTCCCTTTCCTGCCAGCTGCAAATCCTTGATTTATATAGATTTCATTAAGAATTCGTGTCGGCTAAGCTTAAGATGACAGAGTGCACATACTAAGATTTTAATTCGTAATAGGCTGTGGCTAGAGGACTGAGAGACCCTTCATTCAGGGTGATTCAGAATCACTTTGCCATCTCAGGGAATCTTGGAGAAGTAGCAGCCAAGGTATGTTAGTCATGTATGTGAAACCAAAACCCAAATACGATAATGGAGTAGTTATGGGCCACTCTATTTAACAGTATCTAATTTGTGTTCACACGTCTCAGGAAGAAGTGTGGGAAGTTGCTGCTCAGCTAATTGGTCTTGGTATCGGCATTTTGATCATTGTATTTTTCTATTTTATTTCCTTAAATCGATTCATTTGAGGTCCCACTGGATCTCGACTAAATCATTTTCGTGGTTTCATATTGTATACTTATAATCTTGATGCAGGACACGCCGGGCCTTGTAAAGTCATTTCCCTTTGTGTCACTTACATGGACAAGCATAAGACTTGTTCATCTCTGGCTACGCTACCAGTCGCTTGCAGTCCTACGATTTAACACAGTAAGAGTTCTGAAATGTATTTTCTTACAATCCCAACATGAGAAAACTCTTATAAATGAAATTACTTTGAATTGAAATATTTCTAGGTGAATCTCAAGCGTGCACGTATGTTAGTTGAGTCTCATGTTATGCACTCCGTTGTACCAGGTAAGAATGTTTCTCCCTTGTTACAGCTTATATTCAAACTCCAAGTAAGACCCATCTTCTACTTTTTACAGGATATGTTGACTGCAATAAACGAGAAAACATTTTGTTGTGGCAGAGATTCATGAAACCTCGGATCATCTTTGGTGTATCTCTTGAGGAAGTATCTGGTCTGGAAAAATCTGTTTCTGAGGTAATTGTCTCCCTTCGTTTTAACTGCATCCATATATAATTTTGAGAGGATAAGATTCAGATTATTTATTTATTTATTTATTCGGCTATAATTCAATTTGTTAATCCAACTTCTTGGAAACCTTCATTTGTTCAGGTGAAAGCACTCCTTATGATGTACAGAAAGGAGCAATATATTCTTACGTTGAATAAGTTGAACAAAGATACCGAGTTTTATGTATCCTTTAAGGTATGTGTGTGACCACCCTGTTGACCTGTTCAAGACTTATCCGCACTTGCATCTATCTACTCATTCATGATTCCTCTTTGTTCTTACACTGTGAGAAAGAAACAGAAAACGTCACTTAACTCTGTTGTCTGTCTAGTAACCTGATGGAGATTTGGGCATGATTTGGTTAGTGATTAGTTGATGAGAGTCTGAAGACTCATTCATTTGTAACTAATTGAGCATATCAAGTTAGGAGGTAGGACTTAACTGAGATCATAGTGCTGATTTACAGTTTGCTTCTTATCATTTGAATAAGCTATTTGAGAAGCATACAAATTCGAGGTAGGGAGTTGTTTCTCAGAATTATCGGCTAACCAAGAGGACAAAGGTTCTTCACCTTGTTGAAGAGTCTAATCTTCTAGTCTCTTATAATCTCTGGATCCATCCTTAACGTTTATCATTTCTCGTTTGAAACTATGTTACTTTTCAAAACTTCTAGGTTTGTTTCTGCTATTGCTTTAACAAGTAAAGTGAATCATATATATATCGTGAATCTGAGGTCTAAACCATATTTACGCATTGTTTGTGTCGTTTTAGTTAATGGATGCAAAACTAATAATGCAGGTGAATGCCACAAGCAGAGACGTGTTGAGATGTCTTTGGCAAGCATATTGGTTAGAGGAGAACATGGAAGGAAGCTTTAAAGACAAGGATAGTGTGTTCCAGTGGCTGAAGAAAAGCTTGTCGGAGATGGACAACAAGTTTGATGATTTCTTGTTCAAGTTGGATACTGGTGGATGGAATCTACGTGAATCTAACTTGAAGATTCCAAACAAAGTCCTCATCGAGCACGAATCGATCCCTCAATAACATTTGATTGATCGATTCTTCAGAGTCATACGCAATCTCTTGAACAAAAGAAATAACACTGAGGTAAATAATACCAAAATCGTGCAAGTTGAAAAATGTATTAATATCTCTAGGCACCTAGGTGATTCGTAGAAATATCATTGTTTGGTACAGCTAATATAGTTAGGATATATCAGGCTTTGTATGGCAACTTGTACCGTATGACCCGATCCAATATAAATTAAGCAGTAAAAGAAAAGGAATAGAATGAATAGTAGTAGTATCAAATAAGCTTAGTGTGGATAATATAAGACAAATGATGAGGTATTTTAGGCCAATGATAGCTGATTATGATTTCTCTCTCATTTGTTTGTACTTGAACTGTCGTCACCATTATTATTCTGCTTGCGTTTATTTAGAGTGCTGGCCTTCCGGAATTTAAAACAACATTTTTATAAATTGATTTGTATATTTACAATAGAACCAAAAAATAATCGTCCCTCAGCTAATTATAATATCTAGTGTATATTAACATATTTCAATTTGTAACCTAATTTGTATAATCTATACAAGAGCTTTTATCATTTTTTTTTAATCTTTTTACTAATTATCTACGGATTCATTCAATTTGTAGTCTAGTGATCTAACAACATACATACATATTAGAGGGCAATCTTTTAAAAAAAAAGAAAAAAAAAAGTAAATTTGCTATTTTTGTGACAAGAGAAAAAAGTGAAATTGCTTTATGTATGTCTTCATAACCAAGGTTGAATAAGCGGGTTTGTTCGAGTCATTATCTTGCTAATAAATTTGGTTACCGTAATAAAGGATTAGCAATCAATCATACTATTATTGTTTTGATTCTTTTGCCACTCATCCACCATATTCATCATCCCTACTATAGTAAAAGAGAAGTACAAAAGTTTCTTGGGTCGGGTTTTTTTAAAAAATTAACCCGAAATTTTTCAATTGGATCTTACTAAAAATTTAAAGATATTAAATACCAGTTTCCATATATATTATTTCGAAATCTACCAAATTAAACCATCAATATCGGTTTTGGAAAGTACATTAATCTTAATTTGTTTAAGGAAAAATACATTAATGTATGATTTTGTATATTGGTTTAACAAATTAACCTAAAAATCAGAAATATAAATTAAATATAAAATATTTATCAAATTATCCATAATATTTCAAAACAAAATGTTCCTTAAATATCTTATATTAATATTTAGATGTATAGTTTTCTCCTATATTAACTATGATCTTCACACCAATTACGGGATAATTCATTTTCAACCATCTTTAATATATTTATTTGGCAATAGTTTCGAATTTCTGGCTTGATTATAAAGCTAATCTTTTTTTCAACGCTAACCTAACTCTAAGAAAATATTATCTATATAAATAAGTTTCTGCTACCAGAAAATTGTAACATAAACACATATTTTACATTTTAACACGATAAGAAATAAGAAATCATTGGCTCTTTATTTGTTTATTCTAGATATTTGCAATTCTACAAAACTGCATGAAAGGTCCAAGTTAAAATCATGTATTTATGATTATGCGGTGTACCGCGGGTCAATCTCCAAACTTTAAAAATGATTCATAGTATAATATTTATACATGTATATATGTCACATATTGTTCTAAAATTAACAATCCAACTAAAATCATACAATTTAAATAATTTTAAACATATTCGAAACCAACACAAAAAATACAATCTAAAAATGATAGAATTTAATTAATAATCAAAATAAAGTAAAGCAAACACAAATAAATTATCCCGCAACGTACAAAGTATTAAAAACCCGGTAATTTTCCCCCGCGCTGTAGCGCGGGTCCGAATCTAGTTCATTGTAAAAAAACACACACACGTATCCTGAAAACCCCAAATTAAAAATAGAATAAAGCAAATTATACATTACATGGCCTACGGAGATCCAAGCATGCAAAATAAGTATTCCGTAATTGTGTTTGAATACAGAAATCATTGATGGGTTCAGGTTTAGCAAGGGACCACTTTATTTCACCCCCCCCCC